GCCTATAGAGGTTTGGCAGACTGGGAATTCTGTGTACATTTGCAGGTACGACCTGTTTCGATAGTGGCTAAGACGAGATCGGCCGGGGATCTGCGACCCTTGGCGGCCTTTTGACGCAGTAGCCACGGGACGGTTCTAACACAATCGATCTGGTCTAGCATCTTGTCTAGTGTATAGGTAGCGTATATCTATATTTGACCATGTATCTCATGTAGCCATCTGTTCTATACTCCACCGTGGGGTAATCTGTAAGAAAAAAAAAAGAAAAAAAGAAAACAGACCTGGCTAAATAATTGAGAGCTTTTCTCTTCATGATGCACTTTTGATGCCTCTGATTGTCCACGTTGACAGGCATATATCCTAAAATCAATTTTAAAATAAATATATATATATATATTTTGATCAAGTCTGTAGCAACATTTCAAGAATGCTCATTCAGCTTTACTCAGATTCCCGTTACCGCTTTTCGAAAAGAGTCAACCATTCTCATTCACATGTATCTGCTTTTGCAAACATTGATAACCTTCTATAAACGGTTAAATGCAACAATGTAAATATGCTCATCATGGCCCAGAAGGGCCCAGGCAACCTCTGAAGATGGGATCGAGACACCTGCTTGGTTCGGCCAGTCCCTGACTTTGCTGCACTCTTCCGATGCCACCCCAAGCAAGCACCTGCAGCTCGTGCTGATATGCGGCCTGCATGGGCAGGGCTGACGCTGGGAGACTGCAGCGACAGCAGCGCCTTGTTAGGTATTTTCCCGAACCCCCTCCTTTCGCAAAACAAAAACAAAACAAAAAAAACCCCCCCCAAAGGGAAAAAAATAAATAATTAATTAAACGCTCTCTTTCTCTTGTCTGCCTGCCTGTCTGTCAATGCTCTGATTCGAGCCAAGCGATATTGCCCCGTCGTCGTCGTCGGTGATGCATTGTATAGTTTGAATGTCAGGTACATGCATGCATTATTCTACCTCAGGTCTCCGAGTCAGAAGCGCGCTGGCCCGGAAAACGATTTGATTGGGGCTCACATTGCGATACAAGATAATAATATTCCCAGGCACGCTTGGCTTTTCTGTCTCTCGGTGCCACCTAGCAGTAGCTATATAAAATCCACCTGGGCTCAACCCTGCTTTTCTGCCGCGTCGAACGAGCTGGTAAGCAATTAAACAAATTGGAATCAACCTTCCCTCTTGATGTTTTATCACCCGAGCTAGATAGACAAACAGCCAGTTGCAGGATGTGTGATTATCTGTTTGAGCGATCGAGTGACCGAGTGACTGACCGGACAAGTGAATGAGTAAGTGGGTGAGTAATTACCTTGTCTGCCTCTTCTTGCCTCTCGTGCATTTCGAACTTGGGCGAACTACATACGTACTACCGAGTGTCAAACCCCGCGGCCCCTCCCCATGCCGGCCAAAGCCTTCTTCTTCCTCGGACGCCATACCCACGTACTGGTGGGACAAGGTGCAGCGATGTGAACCTTGCCCAACTGCCACCCATCGGTGCCAGTCTTCCCACGGCCTCCGCTACAAAAAGGAAACTTCCCGTACCGCCAACACATTATGGAAGCTGCCGATATATGGCTCAGGTTGTGTTGGTAATTTTTCCGGCACCTCCCATCACGAATAAAGCCAAGTTAGCCGGCCTACCACCACACGAACAGAGTGTGTGCACAGTCAGGCTGATTCGTAATCGCGGACATTTGTGGCCACGGAGTCGTCTTTTGGCATTGATGATGCCGGAAATAGCCTAGATATTCCCATTCTGTCGTTTTCTCTCTCCCTCTCTCTCTATATTCCCGTGGGGTGGACCTTTTGGCAAGCCATGGCGCCAAATCATGACTGGTCTTTGCGAGTTTCATGTTAACAAGCGAAGGCAGACACATGGCCATGATGTCTACGACCGAGGGGTTCAGACGAGCGGGGATCCCTGTTCACTCATGCTCATGTCTTCTAGAAGACTTTTTTTTTTTGCTATGCTGTGCTGTCACTGACTGACTCCCATCTCTGACTGAGCCCCCCCGCCCCTTCTGGACCTGCCCAACTACCCAACCCCTTTGACTTTTTGGTTTCTTTCTGGAGAAGGGGCCTTTCTTTACAGGCAGAAGAAAGGCAGGCGCCCTCTCGAGTCATACAGGGTGCGGAGTTCACAATCTATCGAGACCGACACCCATTGTCTTGCTGCGTACGGTGCTTGCCCACTATGTATTAATGAGTCTTGATATTGTGAGGTCCTCGGATCACATACAATGGCTAACATGTTTTTTCTTCTTCTTCTCTCCTCCCGTGGGAGAATCATAGCGCGGATTGGTATTCATGTTCCTGGCGGCTGAGCAATGTCTCACGTGTGATCTCGTGCATCACCCGCCGAGGGCTGCTAGTAGCCAACGAGCCTCGACTTTACTATCACGAGGCTCTCTTCCTGCTTATATACAGTGACACGCATGGCACCTCGAAAAAAGACAGGACAGCGAACGAGCAAACGACCCTTGAGAGCCACCCCGGTTATTGCTTCCCTTTCCTGGCGACCTGCTTGGGCACTCCGCAAGGGGTGAGCATCTTTACCATTTGGGATGGCACCAATCATGCCGTGAAATGCAAGGCACAAGACCGCACGTCTGGTGATTCGATTCGCCCGAGATTCAGGTTCCCCTCCCGCTTATCGCCGGTCGTCTCTTCCTTTGCTCCATCTCTCGGATCTCACTCACTTTCTCGGTATGTCGGGGTATCCGGAAGCAACAAGTAGCAACAGACATACTTCGCGCTTGCGTGCATTTCCTTTCAAGCAAGGGCGATTCCCTATTTTGGCTTTCGTATCGATGAATAAGTGGGAGGCCGGGTTACGTGTTACTTTATCCTTCTTCCATTGCTTTCTACATGGTGACTTGGCGAATCTTGGTCCGCATTCTTGTGTCGAGTCCACCTTGCCTGACCGCCACCGTGATGACTCGCTCTTGGGTCCATGGGTATGTATTGCCAGAGCACTTTTCTAGTGCCGGTAGCATATGCCGTGTAACCTTGATATTATGTCCCTGGGGCTGCGTCTATTCCAGTTACACCCTATTGCATATAAGGGTGTATCACTTTCGGGGAAATTCATGTCATTACCAACTCGTAGACAAACCAGTTCTTAATCAGGGTCATCTACCCTCAGTCTGAGCAGGCAGTTTCCTTCATCTTTGCAAGGATTGTCACCTGGCAACATCGAATAAGACGTTGATCACGTCAATATAATGTCCAGATGTACATGATGCTGTGCACAGCCATTGTTTGCCAGGTCCCGTGTTTGTCTCCCCTACCTTCTGTAGCCAGTTGCATTTGAACTCTGATACGGGCTGCATTCAAGATCCTTGGCTATTTGGCTGCAAGCGTATATCAAAGAAGCTCGGTGAGAAGCTTCTTGCTCTGGTTAGACGATATTTCAGGTCGTTGACAGTCTGTCCAGAAGTTTTCTTGACACGAGCTTTTGCCGTGGGTATCGCATCATCGCCCATCTATTCGTATCTTATTCGGTTTCAGGCTCTCTTTACCAATTCGAAAGAAGATATCTTAATGGTCAACACTTGCATACACATCGCTTCTCTTTTGCACTTGGAAAGCCTACAATTTTTCGAATTGGGCAGGAGACGAGGAGGGGGGAAAAGGACAGAGAAAAGCTCACCATCGGTAGCAAAGATGTAGGTTTTTTTTTTCCTCCCCCGTGAATCGTAGGTCCGGGTGGAGGATCCTTGATACTTGAGACCTTGAAGAATTGGCCTGCGGATGTGAACCCTTTTTTTCCCCCCCCCCCAAAGTTCCCTTTGCATCGTCCCTGGGCGTCTTATGTTGGTGGTTGGGGCCCTTGAAATGCCAGCTCAATTTGAACCATTCTGAGTGCACTCCCGCTGGCCAACAGTCGGCACCGGTCGTCTGAGTGCCACAACGGAGCTCATCTATCGACCACGGTGGTCCGGCTGCGTTGTCTCACGGACTCGGAGTCAAAAGAACGAGGATAATGCAGCAGGCACTCGAGTCAAGTGACTAGCTGGCAATTTTGTCTCTCATGTCTTGAACATCATGAGACTTCAACTAGTCTCTTTACATGTGCTGCGCAAAATCTGGTAGCCAAGAGTAGGTAGATGCCAGGTCAGTCTTGCAATGGTGGATCGTGACCATTTTGAAACATGTCCTCGCGTCTTGTAAGAGACAGCAAGTGATCCTTGATCGTGAACATAGGATATCCGTAAGAATAGAGCAAAAGTGAAGGCAGCGTTAACTTCAAATTCTCTCTTGTAAGCTTTTGATGCAAGGAGATGGTGTCCCTGGAGCCCGCGGAGCTTCCTCGGAACAACCTAGCTAGCATTGCATGTTTTGACGTCTTGCCTACATCACACAGGCCGGTTCAAGACACCATCGCCTACAGACCGTAACGCCTGCGAGGCATCACGCGCCTTGTACAATAATAGCCTTACAAACCTATGCTGCCAACACTACTCGGGCTCTGAAACTCTCATGCTTCTTGTAAAGTCCAAAGAGTAGAAGCGTATGAAGCCGTTCAAGTGGACTGTCTGTAAATTTCCATGTTGACAATCCCGATCGTAGGGTACCTTGTGTACCTGGGATCTATTATAGTATGGGTGTGTTTCTCTGGGAGCATACCTGCACATAAGAGTATCTGTAGACATGGCTGCGCACCTCTTTCACCTACGATCAGTGGTGTTCGAACATGTCGAGGCATCACTTGTCCACTGATTTGATACTATGTGTGCTAGGGGATCCGAGGTGTTATCTACCTTGCATCTCTTCTTCCTCTTTTCTTAAATTGAGCATTAACACTATATAATATTTATTTTGTTCTTTCCAGCATGCATAAAGAAAGCATGCAAATCTCGAACCTGATACAGGATTCGAATGATTGGTAAGCCCCGAAACCCGAGCGCCGTATCACAAGTCATAATGCATAAAATGGTTGGGCCGAATGAGTAAACATCATATTCCGGCAGATCTCAGCCTCTGGCCATGTCTATACGTCCAACATGCTTCTAATCTGTTGAGGCTGACCGTCCAGAGAAACACCACTCTGGGTGCTGTTACTCCTTTCACTCGTACCCGGCCTCTGTTGAGTTCCAGGCGATACATTGGTTCTTCTACCCCTATCAACTGTTGTTGTTGTTGTTGTTGCTGCTGTGCTCGTCGTCGCTGACCCTGAATTGGGAAATAAAAGACCAGCGGCAGCCTGCATAGTTCGGTCTGATCTCCGCTGGTCCGACCTTCCGCTGTACGGAGTATAGGGTGGTGGAGCCGTCGCACCTGTCCTGATGCTGCTGGCAATGCTGTTTGTGCGCCGTATCTCGTTCATCTCAATGGGCTGGGCGTTTTCAGCTACCTCGGCTTCGCGTGCTCTGGTGGCGGCGGCAGCTTCGACATTCTGCCCAGTCGCGCGTCCTCCACCGACTTCGCGAACGTTGCGCAGGATGGCATTCCTCATGCCTCCCTCGCTATGCTCACCGTTGACTCGCTTCCACCAAGCCGGCTTATGCACGATTCCAAGTTCGCGGTCGAGGGTAGCACCGCGTGCCCTGCGCTGCTGGATGAGGGCCTTGTCTTCATTCTGCCTCATGAAGCCTGCAATGTTTTGGATGAAGACGATCAAAAGGGCCGGCAAGTAGCCGCCGACATACATGGCAACGTAGTTGGTTTCCTGTTTCATGGGCGAGAGGGAGAAGTCCCAGGCAGCAAGACCCTGATACGCAACGACGGCCAAGGAAATGGGCAGAAGTAGCGCAAATCTAAATGGCATGTAGCCAAGGCCGCCGATCATGCGGTTCAAGAACCCGCGGCCTCGCTGCTCGTAATGGTGCAAGGAGTGCATCAGCGAGATGAGAATGGTTAGCCAAGCTGCGAAGAGACAAAACGTTGCAGCTTTGAACCGCCCGTCCGTAGCGGTAGGCTCGGCAAACATGGCAGTCTGCTCGTCAGACCTCTGGAGCTCGAGATTACCCCAGTTACGAGGAATAATGAGGAAGAAATTCTATAGTGTTCTTTGGTTAAGCTATTGGACCTCTAGGATGGTGCAGAGTTGTTTAATCGGTAGCAAGGGGCTTTTGTGTGCTTACCAGCCAAACCCAGAAGTAAAAGACCAGTGGGATAAGAAGTTCAAACATGCCTCGTTTGTCGGTCTGTTGCAAGACAAAGGGATTTGGGTCGATAAACTGCCTTTCCATCCAGCTTCCCCAGTGACGCACGGCTTCCCAGACGATAGCCATGGTTCCCATTTGTAAGAGATACCAGAAGAAGTTGTTCAGCACAATGGGGATGGAGGACAGATAGTAGCGATCCACATCAACGCCGGTGAAGAGGCCAATCATGGCGGCCACAGCCACGAAGATGGCCCAGTACCACTGCCAACGGCGACCAATGGGCGCAAACCTCTTGGTGACGGGAAGATAGAGCTTGCCGTGCCTGGTCAGATTGAGCAAAGTGAAGACAAGCGAGGCGGCAAAGAGGACGGCAAAGGCGACGCCAACCTTGCCGCGAGTGCCGATTGGATTGACGGGCGTGTAACACCAGGTACTGTTGACAAAGGACCCGTTGGGATAGAGGAGGGTCGGGATATAAGGCTCAAAGGTGAGGAAACACCATGAGCCATTGGATATTGTGCCATTGCCATAGATTGTATAGTTCCAGTAATTCAGAGTGGTCAGATTGAAGTGGATATCGCCAATGATGTAATCGGTGCTGTTGTTGGGATCATTGGATATGATGTCGCGGGCATCGAAGATGGGCATCTTGGGCTAAGAGCTGGCGGCGAGCTCGAGGGCCCTAGGCACATACAGGGAGAGCAGCAGCAGTGTTTCGTTTTTCGATACTCGAGGAGAAGGAGCCAGTATCCAACATGAGTAAATGATTCGAGGAGAGCGCACAATGTTTCGGAGAATCGCGGGGTCGATCAGACTGGCGACATTGGAACAGCGACAAGGTGCTCAGGAGAAAATAATTGCACCCGGCTGGCTCTCTTCACACACAACCAAAGAAAGAGATAGAGAGAGATTTCGGCGACGTTGAGTAGGGTTTTGCACAGGCTTGCTTGCTTGCTTGTCCACAACTGCGGCAATGAAGACGTCGTTGGCACAGAGGAAGAGAGAAATCAAAGAAAGAAAACGGACAGAGGATGAAAATTGGAAAAGAGAGTTTGCGTCACGCCCTGGTCTGTCTGTGGTCGGGGCCCTTTCCTGGCGAATCGAAATGCCCAAGAGTCGAGGCGCATCCGAGGATCCGGCGCCGTTGGCGGAGACAATCAATCAAAATCGCTCACGAGCACTGATGGAGCATGGGAAAAGGATGCGATAACGCTACGATAAGCCCTGTTATGACGTCCGCTACAGCGATTCCGCGCGACGGGAATCGCTGTAGCGGCCGAGGCCCACCCCATATTCCTCCATATTTTCCAGATTCTAGCAAATGCAGTTCCCCTGGAGCGGAGCCTGTAAGCGGGCCAGCCCATCTGCGCGTTTGTTTCCCCCGGGGGGCATCTTTTTTTTTTTTTTTTTTCCAGCGCCTTCGCGATTCGAAAGCTCGCTGTCCGAGTCGCGACGCGGTCACGCAGCTGGCAGGTAGGTATGAAGGGATTTTGCCTGGGATATGCCATGTGAACGGAAATGCCAATAGCAGTGGTCGCCTTGACATGACCAATGTTAGGCAGACCCGAACCATTCAGATGTAAATTTGCTCAATCATCAATGAGCAAAGAAACAAAACTACCGTATACATGAACGCTCGAATCTGTTTGTAGTACCTTTGTAAAGAAATGTACAGAGGTAATTGATGTCAACGAGGTGTTTTTTGAGACCATCGTGATTGGCCAAATGATGGCGGGGCAATGGCAATACCCAGGCTACTAGCTTGGTAGTAATTTATTTATTCTTCAAGAGGTAAGAAAGTCTCATTTCGCACTGGCCATCGATTCCCTAGGTTAGATAGTTCCCATAGGGTTGAACGTCGACCCGATTGATCGAACCTAGAGAGTAATCTCTCCATAATTCTTCTTCTTTCGTCAGTACACTATACACAACATGCGTACCGACCTAGTTGAGAAGACTTAGAACTTGTGATCATGTATCGCTCCAGTGTACATGCGAGTTACAGCGTGTGCATGTGCTGCCGCTTCCGAAATGGCATAGGTAGTACTCAGCTGCCCGCCTACTCTGCTAAATCACACTTGTCTGCGTCGGTATTCCGTACATAATGGTCTGTATCATCAGCTCATGGCTTGCGTTTATACACTCAATACAGGTATACAAATCTGTTGGAGAAAGAGCCACTTCCGCATCAGTCATCAATAATGGTCACTCATTTTCAGACTAGGTACTGTACCTGCCTACCTGCCTCCCTACCTAGTACTCTGTAAGTGTACCATACAGTCGATGCAACCTGCCAAGAGCGGCATCTGGCTGCGCCGCCGCCTGCGTGTGGCTTTCCGGGGAGGAATGGTGAAAAAGACACATTTTCTGAGTCAAATCGGAGGATAAAACCCCGGACTGTCTGATGCCCTCTTTTTTTTCTCTTGGTCTGTGCCGCTGAGTGCCTGCTGTCGCGACGGGCTGAAACCAGACCGCAGAGGGAGAAAAGACAAAGGCGCCGCTCATTGTCATATGCGGCGTGTGTTGTGAGTCAAGAATATCTTCTCAAAGTCCGGGGAACATTGGGCACTTGACATATACATACACATACACACACACACACGATGTGGAGCCGTGCGCGAGCCGCTGCCGCCGTACTTTTCGGCGTCGGGGTCAGTGCAAGTTGCCCAAATTACGCCGACTACTCTCGGCGGCAACACGAGCCACTGTCGGATGGGGCCTTTCGTCTGTCCTATATGAGACCCGAGCCGGCATGTCGCACCTTCAATTCCACTCTCGTCGAGGATGCCATCACGCGCGTCAAGGACCAGATCTGGGATCCGGATCTCTCCCGCCTGTTCGAGAATACTTGGCCCAATACCTTGGACACGGCCATCAAGTGGCGGGGTGTGGCTGCCAACAACACCGAGGAAGAGCTGTGTTTTGTCATCACTGGGGACATCAATGCCATGTGGGTGCGCGACAGCGCCAATCAGGTCGCCCCCTACAAATACGTCCTGAGCAGCCCTGCCGACGACGTTGCCTCCGTTTTCCGCGGCGTCATCAACCTGCAGGCCCGGTATTTGGTTGTCAACCCTTACTGTAACGCTTTTCAGCCGCCGACAGAGTCCGGACTTCCTCCAGACAGTAACGGCGGCATCTACTCTGTCACTCCATCCTATAACCGGAATTTTGTGTGAGCTGCGGATCTACTACTACTACTACTACTACCCACCTCCCCTTCCTCCTTTTCCAGCTGCGTACAACGCCTACTCATCCCATCCTATGAGAAATGGTATACAACTGTATAGTCGCTTACAATATTACATAGATACACTTGCAATTTCGAGCTCGACGACTTCGGCGGCTTTCTACAGCTCTCTCATGACTACTACACTGCAACTGGTGACTTGGATTTCTTTGGCAAGTTTCAGTGGGTGCATGCCATCCAGTCTATACTGTCTGCTTCCAGGGCGATGCAACAGCCCACGTACGACCAGGATGGTAAATGGGTTCGTTCGGCCTACACGTTTCAGTCACAGACAATGACGGCATTTGGGACGCTAGGAAATAATGGCATGTCTAACCCTATCAATGATACTGGTTTGATCCGTTCCCCCTTTAGGCCGAGCGACGACGCGGCCATCTTTGACCTGAGCATTCCCGCCAATATGATGATGGCCAGGTACCTGACGACAAATGCCGATATCATGGAACGGCTTCCCAACGCGCCCGCTGGACTGGCCCAAGAGATGCGCGACATGGCTACGCAGGTGCAAGAAGCCATCAAGGAATGGGGTATTGTCAGGGCACCCAGCGGTAAGGAAATATATGCCTACGAGGTTGACGGATTTGGAGGACGTAGTCTAATGGATGACGCCAATGTCCCATCCCTCTTGTCTGCGCCCTTTCTGGGATACCTAGACAAGACGGATGAGATTTACCAAAACACCAGGGAATTCGTCCTAAGCCGGGCGAATCCGTGGTACTGCAGCGGTCCCATCATCAGCGGCGTTGGGAGCCCGCACATCCGACCCGGGGCGACCTGGCCCATGTCAGTCATCATGAGAGCCATGACAAGCAGCGAAGATGGAGAAATCATATCTTCCATCAAGCAAGTCCTGCAAAGTACTGCGGGTCTAGGACTTATACACGAGAGTGTCGATGCCTATAGTGCCAGTACATGGACTAGACAATGGTAGGTCACTGATTATGGATCCCGTGTTCCCCCCTCGACTGACACATCTTTGCGTGCTAGGTTCACCTGGGCAAACGGTTTGTTCGGACAACTCGTTATGGAGCTGGAGCAGCGAAACTCATCCGTCCTACAAGAAAGCTTCCAGCCACTGCGGTACCGTGATGTTTAAGTAGGTACGAAAACGTGCGCCTCTAGAGATATATAATATGGCAAAACAGCATAACTTGGTCCTCACAAGGCAGAATCTGAAGCTCAGTTGTAGCTCGTTCCCTCATGTGACCAGTGGTTATTCCCGCTCAGCCGTGGAAGCGAGGCTGTTTGTAATTGGCACTTGTCGCTTGGGAATAGAATTGAGGCATCTTGACTGTGGCAGCAGGGGTCAGTGGCCTGGAGCAACTGGTTCTGCTTGAGCCAGCGTCTCGCAAAAGTCATGTACCGTCACGACCCATCCGAAAAACTTCTCAACGTTGAACAGAACAGCCTGTTGCAATAAACTCGGGTCCATTGGAGCGAGTGGCGTCCTCTAGGAGTATGCAAAAGTATTCCAGGTGAAATGCATCACGGAGCGAGGTTTCGACGCAGACGTTTGTGGCCACACCCACAAAGACCAAGTTTCGAATGCCCCGAGCTCTCCGAATGCTGTCGACACCTGTATTGAAGAAACCACTGTATCGATTCTTGGTATCACGATATCGTTATTGAGAGGTTTCAGCTCGTCGACAGTCGCATGATCCCACGTGCCCTTGACCAGCAACTGTCCGTGTAGCTCAGGTCTGGCCCGTATAGTTTTGAGTGCGTGCGACTTGTACCAGTTTGGCGACATGGGGGCACCAATCTCATGGTAGTCCTTTTCAAAGCCGTTCTGCACAACAAGAGCGACGAGTCAGTCACTGCTGCATCAGAAGCAGTATGCCATACTTGATTTCAGACCTGAAAATAAATAACCTGCATCCCAGCAGCACGTGCAGCGGCCAGTGTCCTCTTGATGTTGGCTATGGTGTCTTGGGTGCCGGAAACATCAAAGCCTGCTAGGTCCAGATAGCGCCCCTCCGATGAGTATGCATTCTGCATATCAACGACGATGATAGCCGTCTCCGCCCGGCTGAGCCTGATGGGTTCGGGTCGTGCTGGGAGAACAATCGCATCATCCATGCGCGACTGTGGAAGACCCGCGATATTGTCACGGCCTTGCGAAGACATGGTCGTCGTGTACATGGCGCGTAACGGCTACAAGAGTTCCGCAAGTAAAATGCGCTTGCGAGAACCATCCATGTTCTCATCCATCTTGGTTTGTGTGCAACTGTTGCCGACAAGGTATCATCAGTCCTCGGCTTCGGGTTTAAGATGCAGGCCGCGAACTTGACTTTCCGAAATTGCAAAACTGGTCTGCCAACCCCGGGAGGGATCCGGACACTGTAATCTGAATTGCGCTGAACCTCGGGCTCGTCAAAGACAAAGAGTCACTGAACATTCGTTTGCGCATCACGCGAAAGCTCAACAATGTTACATCCAAGATTCCCTATGATGACACTGTCAAGTTTGGCCACGACCTTGGGCAAGATTCTCGCGAGGTATCTCGGTTCTTCCAGAGCGTTGCGCCATTGAGGACTCGAGAGACTCGATTCCATCGCAAGTTTATTGACTCGCATGTTCGCCGTTTTTGGCTGTTTGTATCGAGGCTCTTTGCGCTCCAAGCACGAAAAGATCACCGGTATTTGTTTGCCCGAAAGTCATATCTAGAGTGCTCCCAGATCATTGCATCACATTCAAAAAGTCTACAACCCCCGGATCCGTTGGAGGACAAATTTGCACCTCTGGCAATGAAGTGAGGTGAACTTTACAAAGGACCACTTAGTCAAGGTGTCATTGTGACCCTTGGCCTCGAGATATCAACCCAACTGGAGCAAGAGGTCGAAGCAAGCAAAGGCCTCATCGACAAATCTGATCCTTTGTTCCAGCTATTACAAGCCAATCGAAGGCCAATCATTGATATCTTACGACACATTCATGGGCCACTCGGTCATATAATTGCTCTCGGCAGACCTAGGTACAAACGCTACGTCATGCTGTCCGCGATCTTGGCACAGATTGACGCATTTGATGCTGGACTCGGCGACGCACGAATCGAAGTGCTTGGGGTATTGAAGGAGAGCATCAAGGAATGTCGAAAACTACTTCTGGAAATACATGAGAAAGAGTGAGCAATAGGCGCCACATCAACATCCTGGACAACAGAAGGCAGTAACAGCTGGCCCGACCCATGAGGGTTTTGGGATTTGATGTAAACTCGATGGTGAAACCAATCAGAAAAGCTGAGACAAGGTTGGATTGACTAACCGAGGATGCATAGGATCTTTCCTTTGACCTGGGCGGCGTATCAGAAGTACCCACGTTCAACGACACACAAAAGTGACGTTGTGGTTTTAAGGGGACTGGGCTTCGGTCAGACCATCGAATGCACTAGAGACTATGGATGGATTGCTATCTTGAGCTTTACAGGCGATGAGAAGAAAGAGAGAAAGCGTTTGATCCTCTCATTTTGGCGAGTGAGCCAATTCCACAACAGGCCGTCGCAGCGTACTTGTGCCTCATGATTAGAACACCTCCCAAGCTCGAAGAATAGGGCTTATCCCATACCATAACATTGATATAAAGAGCAGGTCAGGAATACCAGATCTGTTATCTATGCACCTGAATGCTTTGTGTTGATCAGGCCCAGAATGCGGGCTCGGACCACCGCTCAGGGAGCGATACCCTTCAGGAGACAAACACAAGTACAAAAAAAGACCAGAACACTAGTTCAGAGCCCGTGGTGGGTTTTTGGTAATTTTCATGGCAATTTGGGCATCGTGTTCGAGGGAGTCAGGCCTCGGAGGTGCTTGCGGACACAGCAGCGCATCTAGGTCAAGGGTACTTACGTGCAGGTCGGCCACGGCGATACTAGTCTGTCTCGTCGTGCCCGCTGGCGGTCTCGTGTAAGTGGTGAAGACTCAAAAGCGCTTGATTGTTGCCTTTACTGACTCGAGATGTCTCACTGATGCCAATGGCTGTCTTGAGAAGCCACGACAAAAAGTGACATCTGAGCATGTCTTAGCATTAGTGAATAACATGCAAAGAAGCTTGCATCTGCTGGCCACTGGATTATATGATGACTACTGACCTTGCCTAGTTGATGAGCTCATGACTAGATATGGCGAATGCCGGGGTGATGAGTCCAGCCCTTTCTCGGAATCATCGAGTTGAAAGACATGCACACATGTTTCTCGGGTATTCCTTCTTTTCGGACACGATGAAGTTTTCCCATTGTTGATCCACGTCGTATGCCAATATCCGGACAGCTTTTACTCGTAGTATGATGGTTGTAATAGAAATGGAGTATAGACCTGATAAAATATTGAATTATTGAAAATGGAGTCGAATGATGCCCCCCATTTTCGGGCGAGAAAAGTCTTTCTACCAGCAATGGTGTGGAATTTTGAGCGGCAGCACTAGCATGGTAAAGGCATCACATGTAGTGTTCAATCTGAGGGGCTCACACCTGTGGTCATACTCCAGATGTATTTTGTTTAGATAGCCACATAGATCCGCTGAACTGATGATGAGAGGGACCACGGCCATTTCAGCTCGCAGATACCACGGCGTGTATTGCCGCGGAAGCGCCAATTGCGGACCGCTAAATACGTCTCGTCTAATCGTTTACTCATGGGAGCTGCCAGCCTACCATTACCGGAAAACGACCGAGCCATGGCTCCAGTCCTGACGCTACCTGCATACCGACCAGACCGACCCTTCGGCAAGACCAGAGCGTAAATGTTCTCGACCTCGCCACTAGGTGTTGCAAAAGCCAGACAGGGCAGAGTATACGGTGCTTGGCATCTCGTCATGCTGACCTGCGTATTGCCGCTCACAACCACCATACTACGCTGAGTCAATATGAGGCTCTACGCGCTCAGGCTTCACCAGACCAACAGCGGGTTCTTGGCCTTATTGACTATAATCAAGTTTGAAGAATGTGCTGGCACTAAAACCCGCTTGTCCTGCGAGAGGCAAAGAAAAGGCCTCGAGTAGTCTGTGAATAAGTCCAGGTCAAGGCCGTGCCCCCCTCTCAGTGAGGTGATAATGAGATCTAATCGTTGTCGACTTACTTGTTCACCTACATGAGTAAATCTCCAGTTCGAGACTTACTCATCAATGCTTTCGGCGCTCGGGATGGAGTCGTTCGATACCAATACGATCTAGGGCAAAGCGCCTGGCAGCCAGCTCTGGGTCCTTTGTGTACCTGAGCTAGTTGGCAACACCATCGTGCACGCCGTCGCTACGCTTTGTTGATCCGGAACCTCTGGATAAGTCTAAATCGATCTGACTTTGGCTAGCACAATGCTTTGAGTGTCTTATTCCTGGATACCGCGGCGCTAAAATCCACCATCGCATACGGCGTATACGAACGCACAGACGACAGGTCCCAAGACTTGGGCCATGCTATACTGACTATCCGGTGAACACCGGCGAGCCTATACTGACAAGCTGCTTCAAGCCAGCTCTATGGAATGTCCGCAATGTCGCGCCGTGATATTGTTCATGATCGGGTTTGGCTTACTGGCTTTTTTTATTTTTTATTTTTTTGACCAAATTCGTGTATATATAGCATGATGATCTCCCTTTTCATCGTCCTGATTCTCGTCATCAGCATCAGCATCAGCATCCAGCATCAACATTCAACAGTCTCACACAGACACTCACTATCTTTGACACTTTAAACATACACTCTTTATATTTCAAAACAAGAACAACCAACTTCATCATGCGCTCTCTCTTGCTTCTTGGGGCTGCTAGCCTTGTTGCCAGCTCCCCAGCATCCAACGGTATCAACCTCAGCATCATCAATGCCGCTCCCGCCCCATCGGTGACGGGACCCAGCGTCGACGACACTGTAGAGACTGGTATTTACAATGCCGCTGCCGCCTCATCCAGCGCTGTAGCAGCCGTCACTGGCGTCGCCACGGCCAGTGCTAGCTCTCCAGAGAAACGTGCAGTCGTCGAAGCTCGCGGCTTTTGCATTTTCGGTTGGTGCTTCGGTGGTGGCTCATCTGGTGGTGGTGGCTCTTCCACCACCCAGAAGACGACCACTACCACCAGTAAGGCTACAGCAACCACTGCTACAACTACAAGCAGTATTGTCACATCACTACCTGCCATCACCACCTCTGCCATGACCACTGGTGTCGTGGTCCCCTCGACCTGTACCCCCATCAGCTGGACCAACACCAACGCTTTCACTACGGACCCAGCTTGTCCCAGCCCCTGTAAGTACCTACTGAAAGAAAATGTAGTGTCTTTTCTTTTGCTAGAAGGACCTGCCTTTGAAAACCTGTTTCCTTTAGTCCCACAGTCTGCCTTTGGAAAGCAAATACGCATTGACTGCTCGCAACTCAAGCAACGATGAGGAAGAATAAGAAAGGCTAACACAATTCGTTTCGCTAGATGAGGTCGGGACTTACTGCGGCTTCATCAACCCAGAGGATCCTTGTGCTCCTCAGCCTGATGGGTACGGCCCTCCGACAACCAACCCTGACACGGCTCCCGCTTTCCAGGCCAACCCAGTCTACCACCAATTGGCCCAGAGCGCTGTTACCCCTTCCGGCTATGTTCAGACTTTCAAGGACCTGAATGCCTCGGTAAATGCAAACAGCTACATGGGACTATACACTCTCCAGAGCTACGACGTCGCCGGCTGCGCGGCCAAGTGCGACAGCACCAGCCTTTGCACCGCCTTCAACCTGTACATTGAGCGCGACCCCTCCTTCAACCCTGACCAGTGCTCGTGCTCCGGCAACAATGTGCCCTCATTCACCAACTTCAAGTGCACTCTCTGGGGGTCCGGTGTCAACTCGGCCGCGGCTACCAACAATGGTCAGACACGCAGTGGCTTCAGTGTCGTGATTGCAGGTTCCAACGGCTACGCAAAGACCAACAACACCACACCCGTCACTCCTCCCGGATGGACCAACCCCAAGAACTGCTCGGGCCTCCACAACCACCCGCGTACCTGCCTGGGCGAGCAGCTGTTCAAGGGCGTCTTTGATGTGAGCATCTGCGCCACCTATGCTGCTACCCAGAACGCCGTAAACGTCAAGTCTGGTATCATCAACACTATCCTGAGCTGGTTCGGCTACAACCCGGGCAAGTGCAACTTCTTCAACGCCTTTATGCTGACCCAGGACGGCATCCCCCAGGGAACATACTGCAAGCTCTTTGCCCAGCAGTACGACCCCAGTGTCGGCAACACTATCCCTGGCTGGAACGGCGGCCACTACCTTGGCGTCGAATCGTCTTGGTCTTACTGCAGTGCTTAAGCTCATGACATCACTATCTTTTCATTCATATGCTGATTACGTTCTTTCTGCTGAGTTTTAGATGGAATGGATTTCAGTGGCACATTCTTTTCGTCCATTTCTTAGCTAGATATTCTTGACCAGGCCTTCGGTGGCCAATTTCGAGGGCGCACTGGATAGGGGGGTTACTGGAGTTTTCTACTTTCTTTCATCTTTCTCTCTTTTCTCATCTTCTTTCTTTACACGCTCGGTCGGGTATAGACAAATTCTTTCCATAGTCAACACAATTTTTGCACTAAAAAAAGAGAAAAAAAAAAGTGAGCGCGAGGCTTTTCAACGAAGAGAGAATACATTCCAGTGATCAACAGACGCAGTGCCACCAACGCAGACCTCTACTAGGTTTGCGCCTGCTTATTTCGATTGATGAAGAAAACCAATCGCCATTCTAGTATATTCTATACTAAAGTCTAATTCTGTATGGTGCTTTAAAGAGACTCTAAATTTCTATTCCAAATCGTAAAATCGTGAAATTCCTCCGTGTCAATTATTGGTCCTTTGCATGCGTGTTTATCAAAAGGTGTACTTCTTCGGTGTACACCATGTAAATCTACTCCTCTTCTCGTCAGTGAGCCATGGCCAGACCGCCAGTAGACATCTTGGGGACATTCTTGACCCCCAAGGTAGCTAGCATGCCAACACCAGCCAAGCCAACACAACACCACATGCCTGTACTATATTGCTGAAGTTTGTCGTGGCCCTTATTTATGTCAACTGCTTGGACAACAGCACTTGCAAGAGCTAGGGCAACACCGCTGCCAATCTGAAATGCCGTGTTGACCATACCTCCGCACAGACTCTTGACGTTGACAGGCACAGAGGCCAAGAGAACGACAGTGATTGTGCAATACACAATAGTGGTGCCAAAGACTCCAATAACTGTTGTAGGAAATACATGCTTCCAAAAGTCGAGATCCTCTGGCCTCATGAGCGCCGAGGGAATTGGAGCAGCGGCACAGATTCCCATGCCGGCAATGAGCATCTAATCAGTCGAAAGATATGTCAGCTTCTCGATCTGTTCTGAACCGTATAGAAATTTCCACCAAATGCTCGAGCTATAGATAATAGGTAGGTGGGTATTTTCCGAGACGATGTTTTTAATACTTACATATTTAGTATTAAAGTACTCGACCATTCGGGACATTCCCAAGCTGGTAACAAATCCTACAAGACCCATGGGCAGAAAGCGGATCGCCGTCTGGCCGGCACTGAGCTCATTGATCTCCTGGCTGATTAACGTGGTATAATAAATGGTGGTCTGATAACCACCGTACATGACTAATCAAAGTTAGCAAGTTCAGGTGCTGAATAATAATAAACCAGTGTCCAAGAATTTACTCACCAAAACCACTCAGCCACAGAGCAGCAAAATTAGGAAGTTTCCAGAGAGACAGGGGCATGATTGGGTTGGGAACCTTTTTCTCAACATAGGTAAATACGCCAATCATGGCGATGCTGAGAATGAGAAGCACAATGATAAACGGCTTGCCCCATCCGTACTCGCCGCCGCTAGAAAGCACAAAGCTCAGCAGGATCAACCCAGCAGTCGACAAACCGGCCCCAGCAAAGTCAAGACTGGGCCTTGAAAGCCCTTCTAAACGGTCCTTGGGCAGAGTGAACCAGCCGAGAACCCCGACTGAGCCGGTAACAGCCAGCGGGACGTAGAATATGTAGCGCCAGCCCAGCGACGAGGTCAGAAATCCACCAAATATAAGACCAAGACAGAAACCCACGGCGCCGGCCGCGGCAAAGATGGTGAGGGCGAGCGTCCGGTCACTGGCCACAAAGTAATTGCTGATGATACCGACAGCAGAGGGTACCGTCATGGCGGCCCCGATGCCCTGAATGGCGCGGAAGATAGCGAGCTGTATGAAAGAGGTCGCTAGGCCATCGGCCAGGGTCCACACGCTCAAGAACCCCATGCCAATGCAGAATATCAATCTTCGGCCAAAGCGATCGGCGAGCACGCCGGCCAAGAGCAGGAAGCCACCAAAGGTGAGCGTATAGGCCGATATGAGCCATTGCAGGTCGCCAGTACCAACGTCAAAGTCCTTTTGGATCGAAGGCAGCGCAATATTGACACCAGTCATGAACACATTGTCCATCAGTTGAGCACCGCAAGTACAGAGCAGAATCATGGCACCACGCCACGATTTGATGACGCCCACATCGGGATAAGCCTGATGCACACCAGTCTCGTACTCTGCTGGGGTGGCGAGACCGGAATCTGGCTCGTGGGGAAATGGCCCGCCGGCGTCAGATGATGGGATCCCAGAGGTAGGTGTGGGCGGTCTCGTCGAAATGGGCGTGTTTAGAGTCGATGGAACCTCTCGGATGGTGCTGACGGGTCCTGGCTTGACAGCGCGAGGGCGCTGAATCTGAGGCAGCTCAAAGACACTATCCCGAGCCTCGTGAGAGCGGTGCCTGCTAATGGCGGAAGCGCTGCGGACGAGGGCATCGAGATCCTCCACTTGGTGTCCGTCCTCTTGGGTCATGCGAGAGGCGGTGCTGCGACGACGAGTCGTGATGGGCATGCCTGGGAATCCAGCGGGAGGTGCCAGCGTTGGCGCTTCCTCCAAGGCGGATGTACGGCGACCGAGAGGCTCGCCAAAGTCATCGTGCGAGGCACGAACCTCATATTGTTCATATTCGTGTTGTTCCATGTTGGAAAGAGAAAAGAAGAAAAAGTCCCCTGGATCAAGAGTTATATGAGCATTTCGTGTTTCTGGGTGCAATCTTCCACCACCCCCTATCGGAAGTGAACAAATACAAAGTGAAAAATCTCAGAGGTCTCTGGCTTTGTCGTGATCGAACTAAAAAGTTGAGGGGAAGAAAAACATGCGAAATGTTTCCAGGTTTGAATCTATTTACGAGTGATAAATATGTTACCAACCAATTACTTATATACATTTCTGGTCCATCACACAATTGCGGCCTACTATTGGCCCCTAGACATCTTATCAAAAGATTGCAAAGCTGGACGTTGCCACCCAATGTCGTAATTTTCCACGATGGTGGACCAGCCATCAGTGTGGGTTATATACTGCCTACATTGCAGATTGCTAGGTAACCGTTGGCGGGCACTGGCTCACCCCACGCTGGGCTCTTTCGGCTCTCTTTCCAGGCACATAGTCGAGTCAATCTGATGGGGACGGGTCGAGGATGGTGAAGGGATTGTTCCAGTGGTCTGATCAGCTCCATTTCTCCATTTCTCTTTGCTTTGAATTTCAAATTTTCGAACTCGCTTATTTAGACGTAATGGCCCACTACTAGGTACATAGTTTAGGTGGGCAAAGCGCGGGGGTCTCGTCGTTGTGCCTATGTACCTACATACCTACCTAGTAGGTAGCCAGCAAATCCCAACATCAAGAAGAACAGGCCTTTGATCTTGATGTCTTCTCAATGTATATGAAAGTAATAATAAATCCTAATATAAATCTTTTGAGAAGTTCGAAATCAGTAAACGTGCATATTAGTTAGTACTCTGTTTGTGCAGTATTGCAGGCCTTTGATTCAGGCGATCGTTTAGGACCAGGTCAGCAGCCATGGCAATAAGTAACCGCACTAATGAATCGCTGAGCCCAGGTAACACAGAAGGAAAAAAAAAACTTCGAATTATAGTGCCACGACCCACCGTGGTCAAATAACTAAAAATGTCACTTTAGGTAATTTTCCCCGGAGCCACAATTTTTAGCGAGGGATGACTAGGTATCTACCTATGTAGGTAGCAATGACTACATTGTTCAATTTGTACATCTCATTCTATCAATGCCAGCACTTGAGCAGTCCGTGAACGCACTTGGGCGCGGATTGAACCAATTTGATGTATTCATTGTTTGCTTCAGCTTAGCGGCGCGAAACACCGCCCAAAAATTTGTATGACCAATATCACTCCAGACAATGGCTGATAAAGTTGACAAAGGTTGCTTTGATGTCAAAGACGATCAATGGCTTTTAAAACCAGTCAAGCGAAAGGCTCTGTTCCTATGGCGGCTATTTATTGCCATGGGTTCCGACCGATCGTGCGCGCCCGTGTTCCAGGGTATATCAAAGTCACCATTCATGAAATTTTTGCTGATCTCCCCAAACCTGAATATATTGGTCAGTCCCAGGAGCAAATAAAACAAAATGTGTAAGCGCATCCACCTCTTGAAATATTGTATGAGCTGTGGGCCCACCAGCGAATGGGCAGTCGATCGAGAACACAAATGTAATTATAGCATCTGTACACCCAAAGACATTTTCCGACAGCCATACCCATATATAAGCTTTACATGCGGAGATTGTAAATTCAAGGGCTCAACGTTCGAAAATTCGGGTTTCGGGAAGCAATGGATAAGGGATCATGGTATTAAGCTGAGAGTGGACGAAACCAAGAAACAAAGGCTGAAAAAGGCATCTGCCAAGCCAGGCCGAACTTGATCCGCAACGTGAGATTGTATAGGTAAGTCAAATTATAAATGTTGTTATTACTTTCATTGTAATTCTTCCATTCTTTTAATTCGTCACGCATCATTCCTACCGGAACAGAATATTATTTCAATGTCCACGTAATAATAAACCTCTGACTATTAAGCAATAGATAATCATGGCTGCGAGAGGATCCCACTCCTACGTCTTATATTGTCGTCGACTAGCGTACAGTTACCCAGGTACGTATTCGGTCCTTAAAAAAATTGAAAACATTCACCCACATAATGGAAGAGCTTTCCTAAACGTCAACTCCAGAGCAATGCCAACAGCATTTTACTGGCTGCTAATAAAATGTTTGCTAATGTCCATATCCTCGTGACAATTCTGGCACCGGTGGGTAACTCGACCAGTAGACCGGAGCTGTTCCGCAGCTGCAGCGGCGCTGGCCTTCAAACCTGTACCAACACCCGAAATTTGACCATGGCTTGAGGGGGTCTGATAGTTGTTGGCACTGACGCCACTGCCCCTCTGCTGGTCACTCGGGGCGATCCCGGATGGTGTTCCCGAAGAAAGACTATAGTACGGCTCATTGTCACCACGTCCAGCAGAACCACTACTGATACCGGTGGTGCGAGGAGCACCTTGAGTAGTTGTTGGTTCATTGCGATTCGCGGAAGTAGCATTGACCGCAATGCCTGAAGGTGTACCGCCGGGAAGTGTATTGTACTGTCCTTGAGTGTGAGCAGTCGTCGAGGGCACGTGGGTTGCAGCACTGGCCGTTGATGGTTGCCCATAGGTGCCACGATCAACTCCAGCTCGCTGCGATTCATCAGACATGCCCTCACCGCGCTGACCGATGGATGGTTCATTGTGGTGTCGTGCAAGACGAGAGGCGGTGTAGCCACCGGCAGCGCCAGCACCCGCGATTGCAGCATCGTTTCCGATATGATCCCTAGAAGCGGACTGGGGATCACGATGATCGCCGCTTGGAGAAGTCCTGGAATCTAAGTGAGTCGAATCGACCCCGGACCCGACAGGCTTCCGCGAGGCAGACGGTTCCTTGTACTTGTTATATTCATGCATGCCATAGGCAGCTACTCCGGTTGCGGCGCCAGCGCCAAGTGCGGCATCTCGGGACCTATGGTCCGCATTACCAGACTGCGGGTCGTGGTATGTACTTCCCGTAGTGCCAACAGCAGTCCTAGGATCTGCGTGAGTGGGATCAGTTCCAGATCCAATTGGTTGTGATGCAGAAGTTTCTGATCTCTTGTTGTGTTGCTCATGCTCGTGAGTACCATAGGCAGCAGCACCAGCACCAAATGCCAGTGCAGCATCTCGAGATCTATGATCTCCATGACCTGAGCGAGCAGTGTCGAGGCGGTCATCCTGGCCTACAGCAGGGGTACCATGGTGCAGAGCACTGGAATCGTCCCGCTCGTTTTGATGACATTGACGCGACCCATTCCTGTCGATGCTTGTTTGTCCAGCTCGAGGGTCTGAATCTGTAGGGTCAATTCCAGAGCCAGTGGGTTTGGAGGTAGATGATCTTGAATCATGCTGATTATGGTGGTGGGCAGCATAAGCCGCAACTGCACCAGCGGTGGCCATGCCTGCCCCATCTCGTGCAGTGTGGGAACCGGCCTTGTTACCATCATGGCCTGAGGTGGTGGGGTCCTGATTGGATGTATGAGTCGGGTTGTGACTGGAAGAGTGGTGTGCAGAGTGTACCGGCACATCACCGACGTCGAGCATCGAGCCAGTCTCATGTGTGGTTGGCTGACTGGCGGCTACCACGGATGGATTCTTGTGCCCGGCCATTGTTTGTTGCTGAGGCGTCGCAGTTGCACTGCCCAGGGCATTTGTGTCTTTGGTATTGCCAGTACTTGAATAATTAGAAGTGTGGCTACCAAGCCCATGGGCAGTCGACTCGGTCGCAGACGAACGTGGGACATGCTCGGCGGAACGTCCAAGCGTATCATTGTCATCCCGGTGACGCCCGCTCAAAGAAGAAGTATTGACAATACTTGGTGAACTGCCATGGTAGTCCCTACTCGTGACATCATTCCGTAGAGAATCGTTGGGGGATTCGCCAGATGCCAGAGGATTTCCTTCACGGCCCCCCACACTGGCCCTCTGAGTGTGAGGATGATGATGATAATCGCTCTCAGATTTTTGACCAGTATTGTAAGAACTGTGAGCAGCTTGGGTTCCCTCAATGCCACTGGTAAAATCGTTTGTCTTTGTCCCAGATCGGTCACTGCCTAGCTCACTGGCATGTATACCGCCTTGTGTCCCAGGGCCTATAGCAACGCCAGTGCCAGGGACTTGGGATGTATCTGGGCGACCGTACTGGTCTGCGGCGTAGTCAGTCTTGTCCATTTTGTCCATGTTGTTCATTCTGACTTTGGTGTAAAAGTCGTCAAGAAGAAGTAAAAAGTTATTGTTGTGGGGAAAGACGATATTGAGATGTGTATGAAAGGTTGAACAGTAACGGAAAGGACTTAAATGGTTAACATGATTTTGCGTGATGATGGAGATTCTGATTTATACTTTGGTTATGCTATGACATAGGCAAAGTTGTTGCCATGATTACATAATTACGCATACTACCTGAATTCTGTTTGTACTTTGCACTCCCAAGGCAGTACGTGGTCGCTGGTACGTAGCGGGCGGATTGGTAGTGCCCTGATTTGTTTTACGTTCTCATGTCGTCACTTGTGGTTCAGCTTCGTATGTAGATGATGGCCAACGGGCATTAGTGCTTCCAGACTATGCCTCGGGAAGAATAGAGTTGAGGGAGGATCCCTAAATTTCCAAAGTCAAATGCGTCAGCGGTAGATGCTAGCGGCTGCTTTTAGTTTGAGACCACGATCGTGAGTGACGATCAAAAGATGCACAACATCACCGAGTGGTCAAACTCAGGTTTTAGTGTCCGTATTTCCGACAAAAGTTGCAACAAGATTTGTTTGCAGGTTAGCAGCAAGCAGTACTAGCAGAGAGACCGGATTTATTTGTCAGGGTCTGGCCAGACTTTACAGTTTAGAACTTCCTGGGGTGGTGATGATCATTCATTCAAATCCCTCTAGACTGGAGTCTGTCGCCTGTCTGGCCCAGCCAACCAGCTATTAATATACATACACCTACATTGTCTGCAGCTCTGCCTTGGCAGCCATTATAGACTGCCCAGTCTTGATCTGTGAAATTTATGATTTTGCTTCTACATTTCATTGAAGGAAACCGGGGGTGCAAGAGAGAGACGATTGTGACATCCAAATACAAGAGCCAATTAATCAAGGCAAATCTCAATAACATGTACCTTTATCTACCTACGATATAACTGATGTCCAAAACATGGACCTTGTTCACAGAGACCAAAGGCTGATGATGATACGATACCTAGAAGCAGCCAAGTACGATATAGACTCACCGCCTCGGCAATCTGGAGCGCACGGGCCCATGGCAAAATAATGCCAAGATTTCGCAAGACGATCAGTTCCGCACCCAAAAAATTTCAGCCCAGTAGTGAGAAAACACAATCGCTCAGTCGGACCCATCGCAAATCAGCAGCCGAAATTTTTTTTCTCCCTAATATCAGCATCGCAACCGACGAGGAGTTCAGCTCACTGACCGGCCATTTCTCGCCTGCAATCTAAACAACCACTGTACTCATTGTATAGAATTCTGCTGGCTGGCCTCTTATCCCACATCAGTCATGGCCGAATCGTCGCTGCAGGTTCGTGCCAAAAACGTTGTGTGACCCCACCACAAGCCCGGCTCCTAGCTGACAATTGTCGCCTTTCTTTTAGGATCGCCTGCGCGATCATGCGAAAGCATTCGATGGACTCTTGTCCCTGATCCCAGCAAAGATGTATTACGGCGATGACAACTCTGTATGTAGCCATTTTCAGCATCTCTACCGCCTTCTCTCGCTCGCTCTCTCTCTCTCTCTCTCTCTCTCTCCTCCCTCCCCCCCCTCCCCAAGCTGCTGCCTTGCAGTCTTGTGTGTGTGCTGGCCACCCCGCCTCTCTATATTCGCGTTTGCCACCTGCGCTCCTGTTCCCCCTCCAGCTAAGAATGGCATATTTAATTTGACCTTGCCCTGACTCTTGCCCATTGTAGGACCAATGGAAGAAAAAGAAGCAGACCAAGGCACAGGCTGCCGAGGCGCGCCGGAACAAGCTCGACCCCGACAGCAAATTGAACCGCAGCGTCAAGGAAGTCATGGAAGAACAAGCCCAGAAGAAGCGCAAGCGGGACCAAGGCTTGGCCGACTCCTCAGATGAGTGGTCCGACGTCGATGGCATTGAGGCTGAGAAGCCCGCCGAGGGCATGAAGAAGAAGAAGCTCAAGGTGGAAGAGCCAGAGCCCGAATTGACCGAGCAGGAACGCCGAAAGGCCGAGAAGAGAGAGGCCAGGAAAGAGCGTAAAGCCGAGAGACAAGCCCTGCGAGAAGAGGAGGCTGCCTATGAGAAGAGAAACGTCAAGTCGGGCGTGAACAAGATCAAGCTGGGTCCGCGAGAGTCAAAGCCTGCTTCCGGCAAGTCAAGTGAGCCCGCCCAAAATGCGCCGACTGATGATCTGCAAGAGCTGGAGGAGGACGAAGCTGATGATATTGACGATAAGTCGGAGGACGCGGAGGATCTCGACATGGCCAGCGCGGCCGACGAGGAGGACAGTGAGGACCAGTCCGACTCTGCTTCTGCACCCCCCTCGGTGCCCGAGTCCCCCGTCTTCGATATGAACGGCACACCGATCGATTCCACCGGCCAGCCACCCAGTACATCCACATCCATCTCCTCCACGGTGCCACCGTCTGAGAAGCCCAAGCACATCAAAATCCCTAGTGACACGACTGCCCTGCGCGAACGTCTTGCTGCCAAAATCCAAGCCCTCCGTGACGCTCGCAAAGCCGATGGCCCAGATGGCAAGCCCATTCGCACTCGTCAGGAGTTGATCGAGTCGAGGAGACAGAAGCAAGCCGAGCGGAAAGCCCACAAGAAGGAGGCCAGGAAGAAGGCGTACGAGGAGGAAACTCGCAAGCGGGAGGAGGCGCTGGCGTCGGCTCGTAACTCTCCTGGCAGCATCCTTAGTCCGGCTGTTGATCTGGCAGACACCAACTTCACGTTTGGCCGAGTAGCCTTTGGTGACGGCGCACAACTTTCTCATGATCTGTCGCATGTGCTCAGCAGCGGCAAGAAGAAGGGTCCATCCGACCCCAAAACAGCCCTTCTCAAGTTCCAAAACGAGAAGAAACGACTGGAAAAGCTGGACGAAGAGAAGCGCAAGGATGTCGAGGAGAAAGAAATGTGGTTGTCAGCAAGGAAAAGAGCCGAGGGTGAGCGGATTAGAGACGATGAGAAGCTCCTCAAGAAGGCCGTAAAACGCAAGGAAATACAGAAGAGTCGAAGCGAAAAGGCCTGGAAAGAGCGAGCCGAGGGAGTGCAAAAATCCATCAAGCAGCGGCAACAGAAGCGGGAGGACAACATCAAGGCTCGCAAAGAGCAGAAGTTGCTGGGTAAGGGTGGGAATAAGAAGAAGGCCGCCGCAGCCAAGAAGAAGGGCAGAGCTGGCTTCGAAGGCTCCTTTGGTGGAAAAAGGAAATGAGCGGCTTCAAGAGTGGCTATTCTGAACCCATGGTCGACTGTGGCGCATCAGCAGTTCTGTGCCCTTTTTAAGATTTTGACTGTATATATCGATCAATCTTTTGGTATTCCCTCAGCGGGCGCAAGGGGACTGAAATTCAAGACATTTCCTGAATGATGCCACTTTGTTTCATCACTTCTCCCACCTTCAATTGATCGACTGTCTACTCACTTGGCTTGGTGTTGGCGGGTATTAGGTGAACACCGAGGCTGGTTCCATGTCATCTGTCGATTGATTGCTGGTGGTGACCAGCTACAAGTCGCAAAGTTATCGCGGCCATGAAGTGGAAAGAGGACCAGCGTAAACATTTGGATTTGCTCACCATTCCGATCCGGGAAGAAAAAAAAAAAACAGAAAAAAAGAACAGGCAGATGAGATACTTTTGTGCCGTTCGTTTGTGTCTTTCATTGATCTTCGATCCTTGTGGCCTTGGTCGCCTATCAAAGTTTCGTCATAACAAAGGCGTAGACAAAGAATTGTCCCAAGGCACAAACATTTTGTGTCCCTAGACCTTGAGGCATCGGATTGTCTAGACGATTCGCATGTATTCGACAAGCCATGAAAGTTTGCGTGCTTTTGTGTATATATATCTACACGTCGTTGCAATCTAAGTAGCAAATACCTTCTGGCTGCTAAGCAACTCAATTGCACCGAAACAATACCTATCGATCTATTTACCAACTCAATTGCACCGAAACAATATCTATCAATATATTTACAATGGCAGCCGGAGCAGAACAAGCCCTATTCACGCGTGAAGCTCTCGTAGCGATTGAGCGTGAGCTGGAACGCAACGGCCAGAATCTCACTTTACCCGCAACGCGGGGCGGTGTGCAGGAAATAATTCCCAATGAATTTCAGCATATCAAAGATAAGGATGAGGAGCCGGGCGAGAGTATCAAATTCCCTTTGATTACATTGCATGGGGAGTACGAATACAATAGATTAACGGAAAAGGGTTCCGACAATGAATATCGATGCGTTAGCATTATCCCCTCTTATCGGTCCGCTCCACTACGGACCGAAGAGGATTTATTCATGCACATAGTCAAAGAGACCATGAAGACAGAGCATAGGGAAACAGACGAGATCAAGGACCTCAAAGAATGCCTCCTGAGGCATCCCGAGGTCATGACTCGGATAAGGAAGATTGTGTGTTTTGATCTGACGCCACTGGATCCAAGAGATCATGACGAGCTCGCCGAGAGGAATATATCAGAAGAGAGTCTGTCAGAACTTGATGAGGAAGACCGCGACTCACTCATGATAACTAGATCTATGGAGCAGTACGTGGCCGTTCATGATCTTGCCTGGTTTATTCAGCAGAACTTTGGTCCGAAGTATGAACGACCAGAGGTTTACATCCAGAACCCGCTCTATTCCTCACTGGATAGGAAGCTTCTTGCAAAATCGTTACGCTTCAAGGACGTTGGTGGATTCGGCGCCAAGGGGTTTCTTTTGGTCGACGAGGACACCATGGTAATATCAAGCGACGACGAAGACTGCGTTCGGGAAGTTGTCCTCGATGTATCCAGGCCTGCCTGTCTTTGGGTCCGTGAGTCCTCTGATTTGCCAAAGCGGACGCGGCAAATCGTAGATGCTGACTACATTGAGAGTCACCGCAAGCCAGGATACAGGACGGGATTGACGTTTCCAGGGAACCGTGTCTATTTCAGGAGGTCTGGAGGTCCAGAAGATGCCGCCGAGGAAACTCTCAAGTTGAATACGGATTATGTCGAGCCGGACCCTTACCATATGCCCGGGTTTTCTCCAATTTCCCGAAGGCCCTCACCGGATTTCCCACCTGCAGGGGAGCATGAATAAAGGTCGAGGAAATTCATGAGTACAAGTACGTAGATGTGTGCAGGAACTCTCAAGTTCCCCAGGTTCTATCGGCATGTAGGCGGACATGAGCAGCGACAATACATTAACATTACCCTTTTGCACAATACAAGGACGTAAGTAGAGAGAGAATGATTCATGTCCGTGGTTCTTTTAGTATGATGGTTGATCAGTGACAACCTACCTTGACCTATAAGTGATTCGCGCAACAAGATTGGCGTATATGATGGTGCCATGTAAAAAAGATATGATAAGATTTGCTGTCAATTCGTGACCTATCTAGTGGGTATGGGTCGGGTCAATCCACTTCACCGTGGTCGGCTTCTCTACAGGCTCCAGGTCGGGCAGGTTTACGGCGACAGCCTCGGAGTCACTACGCATGAGCACGCACTCCAACTTCTCGTCGGCACTGGCGTTGATTTCCTGGTGCGGCACGTAGGGCGGCACGTAGATGAAGTCGCCAGGGCCGGCCTCGGCCGTGAACTCGAGCTTCTCGCCCCAGCGCATCCGCGCGCGACCCTTGACCACGTAGATGACGCTCTCGAGGTGACCGTGGTGATGCGCGCCCGTCTTGGCGTCGGCGTGGATGTGGACTGTCCCCGCCCAGATCTTTTTGGCCCCTACACGGGCAAAGTTGATGGCGGCAGCACGGTCCACTGCGTTGCGACGAGGTCCGGCGTTAGTTAAAAATGTCGTCCAATGTAATGTGTATACACTCTCAACGGCAAAGGGCTAATACACATGAGGAAGAACATATAGAAGGATGCTTACTGCCCGGCGTTGAATGCGCATTTCCTGTGTTGTGGTCCAACTGGTCGCCGGGAATGACACGGACACCCTCGGTCTTCCACCCGTCCGCGGGCGGGGGTGGAATGTCATCATGAGCGTGCTCGTGTGTATGGCATTCAGACATGATGGCGATGATGAATCTGGTGCGGTCTGAATGTGTAGAATAGAAGATGAATATGTCAAGGGTTGGTGTTGAACAAGACAATTGCAGAAGGGGGGTTTTCTCCTAGCCTGTGTTTCTCAATTGGAAAATGGAGTAAAATTAATGGACCGAGGATGGACAAAAAGAATACTACCAACAACAAGTACGTACAAGCCAAAATTTGGAGTATGCATGAATGCATCAAATGCCCACAGCAAGACGCCGGCGTCTTATACCTGCTTGGATCCCGGCCGACGCCGCCGCCGCCTAGGAGGTAGAGGTACTATCTATCCGCATCCGAAGGTCCTGAGCACCAGCAGCATAGCGGGGCCCTCATCGCACGTAATCCGTCGTCGGGTTGGCGTGATACCAGACGAGATTGCACCAAAAACAAATATCATTAGAATTTATGGACAAGGTGTAGTCGCATATAGCCTGCTATCTATGTAGGTACCTAATTTTATGGGATTAATTATTTGTATCAGGAATCGAGTTCATATCAACTTCTTTTTCCCTTGTGCTAATTAATAGGCGACAAGCTGACACTAAAACAACCCCCCCTCGAACAACTGCTCTTCCAGGCCCGAGTTGAGAGACTGGCTCATCAATATTGTCTAAAGTTTTGGAATGAAGCATTGTATCTTGCCGTCTCGGGTGCGTTACCGTAGCGATTGCCATCGTAACCTGCTGTCGTCCCGGAATAATACGACACTTGATCAGTGCCCGAGGAACCTAAAGTAGAATAAGGCGAATTTGGAGAGGGAGCCTGGGTGTAATGAGAACCATGCTGCTGCTGCTGCTGCTGCTGCTGCTGAACAAATAGATGCTCGTGAGGTGTCGTCGAATGGTCGGCCGCCAGTTCGCACGTCACTGGGCCTTCATTAGCTGGAAGCTCTGATTTGAAGTCATTACGAGCCCCTGCCGCCAACTCCTGGGGCCAAGGCTTGGGCGATAGTTGTGTTGTCTCGCCCGCTTGATATGATGGATAGGCATACTGTCGGTTGGATAGATCGGGCTGGTGCTGCATGGCCAGATTCTCATCTTGGTTGGCCTTGGCCTGTCTCTTCCGCCGTCGAAAGAGGAGAAAAAGTAACATGGTCGCAACAAAGAGAAGTGCAGCTCCGGCAGCGCCGACACCGATTCCTGCCTTGGCTCCGGTCGAGAGTCCTTCGGAACTGGCAGCAGTCGGCGGTACCGTCGTACTGGTTGGTGTCGACTGAGTGGCTGTTCCCGTTGGAGATGTCGCCAACGGCCGCGTCTGAATAGATGTGATTGTCACTTGCGTGCCTGACACCTCGGTTGCTATGGTTGTAGGGTTATACACGGCGGTAGGCTCGAATCCGCTGGTCCATGCGATCGATGAGCCGGTACTGTTTGGCAGACTGGCATATGCTGGCAACGCAGTATTGCCCTCGAACAGAATTGTGCTGCAGTAGGGGTCACAACTCTGGTTCGGCAGCCTCTCGAGCTCTGTGGAGTTTTCAGATGTCTCGCACCCGCCCCATTTCGTGTCATTGCTTCCCGTGCCTATCTGGCATTGATGTATAGCTACCCACTCCTGTTGATTGAACTGTGGCGACTTCCAGGGACACGCCGGATCGTTGAACCCGGCATCTGTACATCCGGCCAGATACGTGTTGCCGGCTTTGCTACCATATCAGTAATGTTCAAGACACCAAAGACGGTCGGCCGGCGGGGTCAACATACTTTCCGGATCGTAGCATGCATTGGCCTTGTCAAAGCTCAGGCAAAAGTCGCCGGTATGACAGCAAGGCCAATGACCCAGTGCGACATTGCCGCAAGGGATGAAGCTGCCTTTAGTCTCCGTGTTCTGGGTAAAGTAGCAAGTGCCATTTGACACGTTTGGATCCATGGCAGAAGTTATGATATTGAATCGAAGAGTGGAGATCTAAGTGTATAGCAATCGACATCTCCTTCTTCCAGTTCCCACCGTTCGGTAAAGAAAATAAAATTGTAGTCCGGCCGTCCAAACAAGAAGGTCGAGGCTCGCTCTCTCTATCTCTCTTTCACTTTCGCTTTCTCCCCCTCTTTTCGCTCCCTCTGATCCGCAGGGAACCCATCAGCAACGGCCAACAGCATATACGCGCGCCCGTTCGTTGTACAGATTGGCTGGATTCCGCTCAATCTCACCATGTAGAAAGGCAGCATCGCCGGTAAAAGTACCCGCTGTGAGATCTCATAGGCTACGGGTCTGCGAGCCCCCTGGTGATCTTTCATGGCCCGGTCCTGATTTTCCGTAAGCATGCATATCAGCTGCAAGGGTCATCTCAGCTGTTTTAGATTGGTGCTACCTGAAGTTATATCAACCGTTGGCGGCGCTGCATCAAGACAACGAGTTCGGTGCACAGATACCAGTAGTGACCGGGACCTTAATTTCGCCTCGTTGTTTTCTTCCCACGTTTGTTTTCTTGAGATATTCAATATCTTGACAGTTAAAAAATTTTTATGCAGAGTGTATCCTATTCATCTTTAAATGCGCAATGCTTGTGAATAAGCTGACGCCGGCAATTGACTCACCGATCAACCACCGCCAAGGCATTCGGGGCGTAGCCCCAGTCTCCAATCACATTGATTTCAGATAGGATGTCGACCGCGACTAAAAAGTCAACCGCATAAATGACATGCACGGCCTGGAGCGATGGTTGAGCGCCAAGGTAGTTTTGCTGATTTGCCTATAGGCTTGTTTTTCTTCTTCTTTTCGTCTCACCCCTGTTCCTTTCCCCCAGGGTCTTCTAGTCTTCATTCTCTGCTCCCGACTAGCATTCGGAGTGAATCTTAGCCCGTAGATTCTTGGATCCCAAATAGGTTGGCGTTGGCTAGTTTTGCAATTACTCGAAGAGAAAAGAAAGTACGGCAATGCAAAATCAAACGAGGGGGTCTGATCAATCTCCGAGTTGAGCAATCATCACCTTGGTCTTTGCTGGCAAATCTCAGATCGAAATATCAATCGTGCGTCTGAATAAGTGGCGCAGGGTCAAAGGCTATGCCTGTCACTCACATTTCTAGTTGTGTGCGTGATACTGAGTGTTCCCCGAATGCAGCATAATCTGTACATAGGTAGGTAGTAGATATGTACCTACCCGGGTATGTCCTACTTTGTACATGAAACGAGACTTAGTTGAATAATACAAACTTTTCCTGCGTGTAATCAATTAGATGTTGAAAAGAATTAAATCCAATACGGCGACCCGTATGTAAAGTATCTTGAGTTATGGACTACTCAAATAGTATGTATATAAGTTGTTGCATTCTAACACACAAGTCATATACTAGTAGGAGTAACTACCTAACCTAGTAGGTTAGGTACCTAAGGTTAGGTAACTTGTGGCTCCACCTGTTGTGGCTGATGATGATGATGATTATGAGGTCATTGACGAGCAAGCGCGCAACACAGCTTCCACAAGTTTGGAACAATTGCACAAGCAACTAGTAAACTTCTATATTCTTTGCAATGTCATCAGCAGAGTGTTAAGAAGTCACACTTGTCCCAGATCAATGTCTTGTTACAATTTAGTATAACTTGATGAAATCATTTCTCAATTGCCCGACCGTCTGACAGATTGCAGCCCCCAAGGATAGGTAAACCTAGTAGCTATCATAATGGCAGGCGATGGGAGCCGGCCCCGAGGCCTTCGCTGGCGCTCCAGTACCGTCTTCATCATTTCCACTGTTGCACTCGGCCTCTTTACAGATCTTTTCCTCTACGGCCTTGTCGTGCCGGTGCTCCCCTTTATGCTTTCCGATCGTCTCTCTATACCGGAAAATGAGATTCAATCCTATGTTTCCGGACTGCTAGCCGTGTACGCTGGAGTGCAGCTCCTGTGTTCCGTCCCCGTCGGCTGGATTGCCGATCGCGCCCCGTCGAGACAGCTGCCGTTTCTGTGCGGGCTCGTGGCCTTGCTCGCCGGCACAGTCATGCTTGCTCTAGGACGGAGCATTGCCGTACTGATTCTTGCGAGGGCACTGCAAGGTATGAGTGCCACGGTGGTCTGGACTATTGGTCTCGCCATGGTGCTTGACACTGTGGGCACGGAAAACCTCGGCAAGACCATGGGCGTGGTAAGCCTATAAAGATTCATGTTTCAACAAGAGAAGAGAAAAGACTCACTCACACTCCCATGACAGATATTCTCGACCATTTCCGTTGGTGAGCTGGTGGCTCCCGTCCTCGGCGGCGTCTTGTACGACAAGACAGGTTATGGTGGCGTGTTTGGGCTCGCTGTCGGTATCATCGGCATTGACTTTGTAATGAGGTTGTTTCTCATTGAGAAAAAGACGGCAGCAAAGTACGACAACTCACTTCTTGCAAACGGCGCAGTCAATGCCCGCGAGCATGACCACGGGCATGGCACGAATGGCGACGATGACATAGGCCCAGGCGAACAAGATGCACTGCTTCCTGGCAAGGTGGACGAAGCTTACAAGATCAAGCACGAACCGAGCGAGTTGGTGCGATCCATTCCCATTCTCTATTGCCTGCGTAACCCCCGGCTGGTCATGGCGTTGGTACTGTCCTTGGTCCAAGCAACATTACTTGCTGTCTTTGATGCAACGGTCCCTACCGAGGCGCAAACACTATTCGGCTTCAACTCGCTGAAAGCAGGCCTGCTATTCATTGCGCTCGACATTCCTTATCTGGTTCTGGGCCCTATCGCCGGATGGGCAGTGGACAAGTATGGCACGAAACCTGCCGCAGTCTTTGGATTCGCCTGGCTCGTTCCTATGCTCGTCTTGTTGCGCCTCCCGACAGAGGGCCTGGAGAGCGGCAGGACCAACATTATCATCTACTGTGCAATGTTGGCATTGAACGGTGTTGGCCTGGCAGTCATAGGTTCGCCCAGCTTTGTCGAGGCCAGCGAGGTGGTTCAGAAGTACGACAAGGCAAATCCAGAGTTCTTTGGCGCCAATGGCCCTTATGCGCAGCTGTACGGGTTCAGCTCCATGTTCTTCTGCGCGGGACTCACGTTGGGGCCAATCGTCGGCGGTGCACTCAAGGATTCAATCGGCTACGGGAATGCAAATGCCGTGTTCGCGGCAGTATCGGCAATTGCAGCCGTGCTTTCATACCTTGTTATTGGCGGAAAGCCAAAGATGCTGCTAAGACGTTGAAAGAACACATTGGCTGATGTGTGTGTCGAGTTGAATCCCGCCTTAGGCATTTGACCGAAACCTACCCATACTTAAACGCGTCCTATTGGCAATACTTCTTCCAGACTCGATCTCAAGTGCGAAGACGAATACGACAGCTGCCATGTCGCTTGCTGCTGTTCGCCACTGGCCTTCCCAGCCGCCAGTCGCTTGGTGCATATAGGCATTGACGTCCATTTGAGAGTTACTCGGTTCTAGTGAACAGTCGTCCCAGCACTCAACCCAGGGTCCAGACGGGTGACGCATCAGAGGACGTCTCAGCTGTTTGTAGAGCTAGGATCGTGGCGTCTGGGTATGAGAGATGTTAGTGGAAGTCGTCACTCTATCGACTAAATCTAGACGAGAGAAGGGACAATGGGGGAGGAGATTCTGTCGTCTGATGAGTGAATGAGCAGTATGAAACAGAGAGGAACACTGGATGAGGGGTTCCTTCTTTGCGTAGATTGTCTAACACGCACAAGTGTCTGCCACGGACCGTCCCTTCTTCGTGACCAATCCCAATGACATCACTGACTGTAGCAGCGGATTGATGTGCATCGTTGTTTTGTATTCGATGGTCCCTTTGTTCCCATTCTTCCTCCTCTTCTTCATCATCGTCATCATCAACTATCGCTCTTGATTATTGTTACTGTGTTTTGACACCTCTCGGTGCCCACTGTTAGAAACACGCTGCTTTCTTCCCCCCCGTCTCAGATCCTTCACGATTATCAACATCCCGTATCAAAAATAATTATTCCATCCACCAACGACAACGACAGTTGCATCGCCACCATGGTAGCTTACGCCAACCTCCTGGTATTGTTGGTTTCTGGGGTCGCTGTGACTGCAAACCCGCTTCTTTCCAAACGTCCACTCGGGGCAAATCAGAGTGTAAAACACCCAATGAGTAGTCGTCGGACGTGTGTTTCCTCTCAAATGCCATGTATACTGGTTTTGACACGTGCTGATTCTATCTACAGTTCTGAGAGGGCCGCCCTCGTACCAAATGGTGGTCTGCTGCCCGAGACCTCTCTATATATCGCATACAAATACTGACGTTTAATAGAAATCATCAGCGTCTTGTCGAGCGTCTTTCCTCAGCCCCCGCCATGGATCCATAGCGTCTGGACCAATGTACAAGAACCTACCCTGAATTTGAATGGATGCATGTCCTCAGGAGCTTTGCAAGCAAACACAACGCTGAGTGACCCGAATGTGCCTTCTCGCAACGATCCAAAATGGACCGAGGTATTCCGATTCGAGGCCACGGGTCTCATTCAGACCTCAGTGTCCGGTGATGTTTGCTTTGACATCCAGCTTTCAAACCTGCGCGAAGAGGCTCCTCCGCCCATGGCACCTCGCAGGGATTAATTCTCAGGGACCTGGAAGAGACGAAGTATTTGGCGGAAACAGACATGAAATTGGGCCCAGCTGGTAAGCTGTTCCCTGCACATGTGGCTCCTTCCTGTCCCGAGCTGTGCTGATATAACTATCCTAGCGGCAAAATTCATGTGATGTTATCAGTCCGAGGAGCACACAGGATTGGCAATAAAATCCCCGCGTGGTGAATCATATCGATGCCCACGTTTATCGACATCCATGGGCTACCACACCATGACCGGAGAACCCTGGCCGCTCAGAGATTAGTCTAATGAGGCTGACTTGTAGCGCCAATCCTACAAGCCACCATTCTACCTACAATACCTGGCTGGTCTGCATGGGTATCTGCATAGGCTTTCCGGAGCTGGCATAGAGCCACACGCTTGCGCTTGTGTTTGGGATTTTCCTAGATAAACAGAGATAGACAATATTGATTTCATTCTCTAAAATCATCTTGTCGAGTCGTGTGATTTATAATGAACCCTCTCGAGTAAGTTGTCCAATGTCCTCGGTGTGCGCTGCTGCTTAATGGTGGTGCGGATAGTCCAAGTATAGAGTTTCGGCGCCCCGTGTCTAGACCTGCTAGCATGGCTGCTACTGGTCTTGTGGCTGCCCGCGGCATTGTTATCGATCTCGGGAATCGACTGTGAACAGGGACGGAACATTCCAAAACTGAAGGATATCGCTGAAGATCCGGGATCACCCAACCGAGCGGCAAGGATTTATTAGAATTATGACAAGCATCAGACCACGTTTTCTGCCCTTCCAGGCGGTGCCCGAATGTTGTCGACCGAGTCGAGCCCTGCATGCCACCACCCGTAGGATATTCAAACAATGGCGATCTTTGCTCCTAGCAACTCCATGAGAATCCACTGTGTAGAGTGGACAAGGTGATGCAACGGACCATTTGTGACTCTGTTGCAAGTATATAGGACTTGATCTCTCAAGAGATCCTTCTGGCAGGTGGAGCAAACAAGAGCGATTCCGACAACGCCGGGCAGCCCCGGAAAGTTATATTGACCTCGCCAGACACGAACAATTTCGGCCGCACAATCTCTAGAGACAGGCACACCCGAAAGACTAGAGTATCGGTTTAATTCCTTCTTTCTGTACATGGGAGACCTACCTAGGCTCGGGCCCTGACCCTGAAGGGTCATCTTTTCGAGGGAGTAGTAACGCGGTGGTGAGTGCAAAACAAAATGAGACGGCTCAACCCCTAATAATCGCTTGCAGGAAGGGCATTTTCATCTGTACATAGCTTCCCCGTAATGAGCCTACTCCAAAAGTGCTACGTATCGACCTACTGACGCAAGGTTTCCGGGTGGCTTTCCGACAGGAACGCGTCGCTTTGGCGTGGCCCCCCTACAAGTTAGTAGGTCTATCTGCTTGTCTGGTGTGGGCAAGTGGTTGCAGGCTGTATACGTAGTTGTTTGACGGTGCTGCGACTAACGATACTGCGCCAAACTGTACCGGGAAGAGCCACAACGGGATAAATGGTATACACGATCGATCGAAGCGGAATATCCACGTCTCTGCACCACGCGTTCTTCTCTCCGTCTCTGAAAACATCGCTCAACACTAAGCGTGTGCTGGTTTGGCCAGTGGCAAAGGCCAATCGTTGGGCAACTTGGCAAATCAAGGATCCCGGCACGAGTCATTTGCCCTGGTCGATTTCCAGGCCCAAAGATATCAATGGCTACTTGGAGTTTGCGCCGGCGCGCAGACTACGGATCACTACGCATGCAAATAGGTTACTTACGAAGGTTTGCAGGCCAGGAAAAAAAAAAGCTCCACAACGGCGGCTGACTTTCGGATATCCTACATAGTATGGTGTATGGCGGGATCAGTGGGGGGAAGGTTTTCCGTGATTGCGCCAATACCAGCGAGCGAGCGACTTCGAGACGGTCGCCATTTTGGTTAGCTGACAACTTGGACCAGTTCCCGATAACCGATGATGGCAGTTCTCAACGGTGATCGTCGCCAAAACGGAAGAACAATTAAGCCCGCAACTGCTAGTGTAATGTGGTTAAATCAGAGCAGAGAGGGAGAGGCTTTGCATCCATGACGCACTACATTATTATGGCTTTGTACTACATTAAACTCATTGCACTGGCCTTCAGTAAATGTCCTAACTAAGATGTACGAGAGAGAAATATATACATGAGTAGCAAGACATTGAACATGGCTATACACAAGCCTTGGGCCACCCCACCCCTGACTTGTCCCGCAGCCGAAGCAGGTCTGGCCTGGGTATATGGGGGTGGTATACTAACCGAATCGCGGCCCGGGTGCCTCAGCCTTTGACCGGGGGAAAAGAGGAAAGTAAGGCCGAGCCTATTGCCAGCACAACTCCTAGACCTCTCTTGGCAGATCTACTTACCAGGAGTTGGGATCGGGAGGCTTAACGATATGCATGCATGCATGGCAGAGAGACCCTGGTGCATGTCAGTCCACGACGCCGTGTCGGTGGCACACTTGTCGTCAAACCTTATGAGTTGCGACCCCAGAATACTGGAATAGGAGAGATCATCGAGCGGTCCACCATGCTCCGCTTGTCTGCCCTGTCTCGATAAACCAATTGTACTTATGCGCCTTCATGGAGACTTGAAACTTTTTTTTTCTCTCTTTCCTCTTTTGCTCTGCTTTCCTCTCTTGTTGTCTGCAACACAAGTTGCCATCTTGCTGAGGCAGCCGTTGAATCCAGTGTCCCGGACACGCAGCAGCCATGTCAGCCTTAGCAGCGGAGTCTGTAAGTAACTCATTTGTCACTTCTTACCTGATGGTGCTATGACATGGACAACCTTATTTGGAGAATACTACTCAAAACAGTACTTGCTAACACACGTTGCTCCAGTGGACTTGGTACGCGATATCATGGGTAGTCGTGATTGCAAGAACGTAAGAAAACATCTCCTCATGGACTGGCTAGTGTGGCTATTGAGCCATTTCCCAGTACAGTGATGAGGCATAAAGAACTAACTCTTATTGTGTTTAGGATATCCCGAAGGCTCCTTCATGGATCCTTTAAAAAGGTCCAGGCCGATGATATCCTTATGCTCGTGGCTATGGTATGAGAAACACTTGCCTTGGTCGTATCTAGTGATGGGATCGCTAACACGCAACACCACTTAGGTTACCGATACTGTACTCATCGTGTGCATGAACATCTTGGCCAAGACTAATACGAATCTGATCGACCCTGCTCATCCAGCAGACCTCACACCTCAGGATATTTCCGAGCGTACATATGGCTCGAAATTGGTTCTAGTCGTGGAGCAGATGCAGATTGTTACCGTGTGGCTGGTCAAGTGCTGTCTCTTGATCATGTATGCACGATTGACGTAAGTTCAATGACCTTGGCTGCCGCCGCATCAGTCCATGTTAGAGTACATTGTTGACGGACGTCTTTTGGCAGCATGAGTTTGAAACAAAACATTGCCGTCAAGTTCGTAGCAGCTTATGTTGCTTTTGGGTTCGTGTTGATGGAGGTTCTCTACTTGGCAGTTTGGTGTCGGCCTTTTACAGAATACTGGGCAGTTCCAACGGACAACAGTAAGTCTAGTGCACAGTTGGCGATGGCCTCGTCTGTATACTAACTGAGACATCCTCTAGTTCAATGCTCGGCCGCCACAAACCATTTGATCACCAATGCTGTGTTGAATATCACATCCGACGTCATGATTATCTGCATTCCGATGCCGGTCTTCCTCGCAGTTAAGCTTCCAGTGAAGAGGAAGGCCATCCTTGTCGGTGTTTTTGCATTGGGCGTTTTCACAGTACGTTCAACCTCTTTCGGAATCCCCTTACTATTCAACTGACACGATGTTAGATTCTCTCTGCCATTCTGAACAAGTATTACAGCTTCAACCAGCCTTTTGGCGACCAGTGGACCTTTTGGTACATCCGCGAGTCGTCGACGGCTATCATCACGGCCAATTTGCCATTTACATGGACTCTACTACAGAATACCTTCAACCTCAAGTCCTTTAATGGCAAGTCATCAGGTGCCCGCACTAGCGAAGCGCAATCTCGGTTCCGATCAGGCTACGGAAGGGGGACGAATCATCTCACGACAATTACCAGAGGTAACCCTGGTATCGAGCTTGGCTCTTGCAACAGCCAGGAGCAGATCAACGATGCTTTCGGCACACAGCTGAAGATATACCAGCAGACAGAGGTACACGTCAGCACCCACGATGTAGAAAAGGGAGCCTTGGAAACAACAAATGCAGTATCACCGGGCGTCTATCCCGGTGGTGCTTCCGACTCTGACACATCATCACATGAGTCGGAGGTCGGAGTAGTGTCAGGTCGTCCGAGGCCTTGAGTGTGAAGGAGAAAGAAAAAGAAAATAAAGTAGAAAAGCTAATCAGCACAATTTAATCCTTTTTGTCAAAGAAAAAAAGAAACCAATACCACCACGCGACGCTGCCCCCATTTACAGAATATCTGATATATAAACGACCGAATTTAATCAGACTATGTCACACTATTAAACAAAAGGCAGTGTGGGGAGGCAGCCGTTATGCTACAACATCGCCCGCCATATTCGTCGCCATCAGACTGCTCTCGACATGTGAGGCAGTTTCTTATTTTCATTTCCCTCCAAACGCCACTTATTCGACGCAGGAACAATGGATTAACTATCGCTACATGGGTGCTACGCTCAAGTGATGTCTTGATTCGCAGAAAGAATGTCGCAATCTTTGTCTTTCAGGAGAACGCTCTGACGAGCAGCCAGACATTGACAAAGAGAAGTGTCCGATTCTGATATTGATACCTCTTTCAAGGGGACCAGATATAGATACCTTTGTCTCTGCTCGTAGAAAAGTCGAGGCTTTGCGGGAGCTTGATCTTAAGATTCTTCCCTGGCTCATCAAATTCATCGAAAAGGGACTTATACGCTGTTGTCATTGCAACTCTATTCGAACCAAACCAAAAGCCACAATATTTAAGATGGCCTGGAAATTGATCACGGCATTGCTGCTCGTCCCGAATGTCCTGGCAGTCCCAGCACCCGATGGCTCTCTCTGTGTCAAGACTGTGCCTGAGAATTGTACCTTGACGTTTATTGGAGACATTGGCAGTGCAAAAACCTGTAACGTCTCCCCGCCCCATCCTTCCTCCTCCTTCTGTATCCAAGATTTGGTTGATGGTTTTTTTTTTCTTGGCCCAAATGTATGACTGACACTACGAGTTAGACGGCCAGCAGAAATCCTGGTGGAGAATTGCGCAAATCTATGACAACACTTGCAAGCTTATTGGCAGCCGAGAGAGACGGGAGCCCACCTTCGAGGCTCTGACTGGGATCGTACCCTTTTCCATTGACAGCGCTCTACGCTGGACGACGGATGTGAAGCGCCTCAACTTCTATGGCGACTACAACTCGATCAGCTTCCGGTACGGTGCTTACAGCTACGACGGTGCCTTTGACTGCCTGCTGATCGGCGATTATCTGAGCGACAAGGCAGGAGCCAAGAACAATGTCTGCAGACATCAGTTCCCATGCAAATAGGATAACCTTCAGATCAAAGTCTCGACGTTTCGAATCATGCCTATGACATGGTCCAGCACGATGTCGGAAAACAACCATCGGGGGAGTGCGTAAAATGTAGGGCAAGTTGATTGAGTAGACGAGGAAACAAAGATTAGTACCGAAAAAATAATGAGACAAACTCTTTCCTCAATTGCTGATTCGATTCATCTGTCTGTGAAGAGTTGCATGAAGTTCTACTACGAGACTTTTTCTCTCTGAATGAACTCGCCAAATGCACCTCACGATGTTGAACATGACGAAAGACACGACAATAATAATAAGGAGATTAAAAAAATATCAGGATACTTGGTTTGGCAATCTGAGGTTGAAGCCCATTATTTATTACTGCTCTTTCCTCGTTTGGGGAAAATAGATGATACGTTCCTAGTAATGCTTCAAACTGTGTCTGGACCGCGGGTTTGCAAACACTGTGACAAGGATGCAAACATAATCCATGAATTGCTTTGCAATTTGCAAAGATCTCCAAAGTGCAAGCAAGAAAGAGTGCGGCATAGTGACACAAAATGCCGATATAGAGAGAGCATGAAATCCATAGTCAATCGCTGAAAGGCACGATCAGAGAGCACCGACAACCCTTGTGGCTTTTCGTGCACCCTGCGGAGAAATTGTCGATTTAGAAGGACTCGGCAGCCTCATCCTCCTCACCATCTCCCTCTCCCTCTTGGTCGACTTCCTCCTCGACGGCCTTGGCCTTCTTCGGGGCGGCGCGCTTCTTGGCCGCAGTAGGAGCTTTGGCCTGATCGTTCTGAGCCTTCTTGGGAGCACGGCGCTTCTTAGCGGGGACTGGAGAGGCAATGACGGCCTCTTCCTCGTCCTCATTGCCGGATCCCTTCAGGGCAGAGTCCTCCTCAGCATCCTGGGCCTTCTTAGTGGCACGAGGCTTCTTGGAGGTTGCAGCAGGGGCCTCATCAGCCTTTGTCTTGCGCTTGCGGGCACTCTGTTGATGGCAGTCAGTAAACATTTTGATATGCGCAGGCTTGGGGAACATCCCATGGGTGAAATGGACGCGACGACAGACGAAGTAGCGACCAGACGGAGTAGTGATCAGACGACGTTGCGTTTGAGAAGAAGAAGAGAACGAGATTAATTTTTGATTACTCACCTGAACGGGAATGTCGAGGCCATCCTCGCCAGCCATCTCGAGGATGCGCTTCTTGAGAGGGTTCCAGTTGGATCGGGCACTGTTGGCGTTGGCGAAACCGCTGTACTTGATGAACTTCTCAAAGTCCATCTGTGGCACAGGAAGAGAGTGTTAGAGTTGTACTGTAATTTTGGGATAGACATTGAGAGACCAGTGATGGGCGCTCCAGGATAACGCTGGTTGAGCAGATACTGGCAGGACTCGTCAAGCAACAGCCTGCGCGAGCCGCGCGTTCTCTCTTTCTTCTCGGTCCACGCTGTGACAGATGAAAAGCCAAACATACCTTGTGCTCCTCCTGGGAAACAAATGCAGCAACCAGAATCTCAGTCTCTCGTGGAGTGAGAACAGAAGGCTTGTCGTTCTTGGCAGCCATATTGACGTGATGACTGGTGCTGATCGGAAAGGCTGAAGGTTCAAAAGACTTGGATGGGTTGGATGCTATCGAGACCCAGAGAAGGAATGATGGATTAAAGATGGTTGTTTTTATTATTGAAGGAAAGAAAGCTTCAACGTCCAAAGAAATTGAGAGGCGAGTTTGGGATGGGGAATCACCTAGGTAGTGGTTGAGAAGTAAGTGAGTGTTGGCGCGCTTTTTTGGGCAACAACAGCTGGTTTTTCTTCCAAAACTAGTCGCACAACAACGGCGAGTGATTGAGTGGGCGAAACAATCACTGCTCATTCGTTCTTTTCATCATTGTTGTTGTCAAAATTGCTCTTAAATCGTCCACAGATATTCTCCGTTTGTCATTCAGTGTTTCATATCATTACTGGAAACTGCGTCAACTCTATCGCGCGCGCACGTGAGAAAATTAACTCGGGCCAGGGAATCGATGCCATGATTTTCTTTTTCTTTTTCTTTTTTTTTTTGGGGGGGGAGGGGGGCAATTGGTACAATGTCCAACGATTGGGATGCATCATAGCCAACATGTTTGTAGCAAGGAGCTCTTAAGTAATATCTGCGATGTACTTGACGAGCCGAGTATCTGGTAACAATGATTCCACGCATGTGCCTGTGGGCATCTTGTGTCTCGCGAGCAGATGCTGGCTGAATAACGATGGAAGAAAGTGCTCAGATTTGATCGCCGTCACCTTGTCCAGTTTTCCATTTGGCGTTGTGACTGGCCGAGAGCTTTAGTCTTCTCACAAGTATCTAGAGGCTTGATGATGGCTTCACGCAGAATCACAATTCAGGTTGAGCATTGGCGGATGCCTTGCAACTGTCCAATTCATTTTATGCATGGCCGGTGATTCACTATGCTAGGTTAGAGTATTCCAAGTCAGTGTATAAATTATCCCGGGCCCAAATTGGTTCGGCAGGTTGTTGCTTTTCGCTTCGCCTTGTTACATAGATTACTACTTGGTATTTATCTTTATTGGGGCAATGGAACGTTGAGCGCAGGAATTGCAACCCCATTGATTGGACTGTGGATTTTTCCGTCACTGATCTTTCAACATGTGCATTAGACTCGGAGTCAAAACACGAACTGCTCGCAGCCTTCAGTTGGGGCTACCCCAATTCGAGCCATAATCACTTATCGTAAGTAGCACTACGCGCTCCAATAGCAATTTGGCCTTGATGCTCGCCGCCACGACACATATATAACACGCACAGTGATCGGCATGGGACTACTATTTAAATCACAGGGCGTGGCATCTGGCCCTGCCTGTCCGATTGACTTGGCTTGCTCCTTGTGCATTTGACTTGGTCTATGTTTTGAGCGCGACAACGTTGTTCAGTCATGCCATCGCAAGTGCGCCTCGGAACCCTATGCCTTCTTGGCATCATATCCCCCATCATCCTTGCAGACGACCTCGGTCTAGATAGTGGATATGTCTCCTTCAACACGGCCAATCTTCATGCAAAAATAGTGGTTGAGTCGCAGGTTCTGGTATCATTGACTCCCGCCAACGACGACTTTGATTTCCTCCCCTTTGACTACCTGAGCCGAAGGGCATCAAATGGACAGTACCATTGGGGTGATATCACGTACCGCTATCGTGAGCAAGGCAGCAGCGCCGCATGGCAGGACGGAGATTCTGCCGCCAGTCGGCAGCCCGTCACCGCCATCACCAATGTCACTTCGCAATTGGCACCGACACTGCCCACAGGGCCACTGAATATTACTCGGCAATGGATCGACGTGGACGGAGACTTGGGCCTACAGTTCACTCTGCAAAACTCGGGTTCCGTGTCTCTGGAGCTCGGCGGACTTGGGTTCCCGGCCGAGTTCAACAGCATATTCACCGGTCGTGACGCCAGTACCATGTTGGCGGAATGCTCTCTGTCTGATCCCTACATTGGCCTCGACGCTGGTTACATACGTGTAACGCCAACCTCTGGCACTGGTGCAGCTCTAGTGGTTACGCCGCTTCAGAACACTCCCTTGGAAGCGTATCGCAATCTCAATGAGCCTTACTTCGACGACACAGCTTATGGCAGTCAAACATTCGAAGGTTTCTACGAGTGGCAGGTCTATTCGACCGCTTGGGCCGAGAATGAGTGGGCGGCAGTCGAACCCTGGAACCCAGCATCGTCCGCCACCCTCGAACCTGGCGCCGAGCTGCAGTTTGGCCTACGCTTTTCTGTAGCCCAAGATGGAGCCAGAGGAATCGCCCAAACTGTGGAAAACACGGGAACTCCAGTCGCAAGAAGCGTACCAGGATATATCCTACCTACGGATTTGACGGCGCAACTACTCTTGAAGCACAGCTCTGGTTTGCAGACGATAGAAGCCGAACCGGCTGGTTCCCTGGTGCTGACTCAACTGTCCGAGGGACTATACTCCGTTACACCTTCTAGCTCAACATGGGGTCGTTCGCGACTGACAATCACGTATGCTGATGGTCTTGTTCAGACTGTCCATTACTACTTGGTCAAGTCTGGAACAGAAGCAATCAGCGATCTCGGCACCTTTTCGACGACGGCTCAATGGTTTACCGACATATCTGACCCTTTTGGCCGAGCTCCATCCGTAATGACTTATGATTATGAAGCGAAAGCGGCAAGTTGTCCCCAATGTGGACAACGCATATCAATATACTAACATTGGGTTCCTGATAGATTGTCACGCAAGACCCTCGAGTCTGGATTGCCGGGCTTAGTGACGAGGCCGGTGCTGGATCCTTTCTGGCTGCCACCATGAAGCAATCCATACAACCGAGTGCATCCGAAATCGCCAAGCTTGAAACGTTTGTCGACGGGGTTCTTTGGAAGACGATCCAGACGAGCGACTATGCTGTTCGAAAGAGCATATTCTACTACGAGCCATCATCCGTCGACTATGATTACAGCTCAAGTTTGGACTGGGGCAATTGGTGGTCGTGGAACCGAGATGCTGCTTACAGCATAGATCGTGCTTACGATTACGTCCATGTCTCTGCTGCGTACTGGGCTCTGTATCGCGCCGCTCGATCGTACCCTGATCTGTTCAGCAGCCATGACTATACCTGGTATCTGAACCAGTCGTATAACACGGTGGTGCGAAGCATGCAGACTGACGTTGGCTATAATCAGGTAGGTCTGATGGGGGAGACGGTTTGGGGTGAACTCCTGAATGATTTGGCCCGAGAGGATTGGACTAGTCAGGCAAACACTCTGACGAGCCTGATGAAGTCTCGAGCTTCTCGGTGGAATTCCGAAGAGGTCCCCTACGGGAGCGAGATGGCGTGGGACTCGACGGGTCAGGAAGGTGTATACTACTGGACCAAGTAAGTTCATTCCCCTCATGACTACCTCGCCTACACATCACTGACGTGATGATAGATACTTTGGATACGCCGATTCTGCCCTCAAAACGGTCAATAGCGTGCTGGGATTCATGCCAACGGTTCCCCATTGGGGATGGAACGGGAATGCACGTCGATACTGGGACAATATGTGAGTGCTAGTATTACTTGACTGATGATTAGAAGTAGTGAATGCTGACTAATGCGAACAAGTTACGGCGGTAAACTGCAACGGATTGAGAGGCAGATTCACCACTACGGATCGGGGCTGAATTCCCTGGTCCTTCTCTCGGCCTTTCGCAGCGATCCCACTGACGACTATCTGATTCGTGTGGGATACGGCGGCAACAATGGGCCCTTGTCCAACATCAATCAAGACGGTTTCGGTGCAGCATCCTTCCACTCCTGGCCAGACACGCTCGAATGGGATGGATACAGTGGAGACTACGGACCAAATTTCCTCGCGTTGGCGCTGGGCTCTGGAACCTATGTCGTCGATGATGAGGACCTAGGCCAAGTCGCCTACGGAGGGCTGCTCGAGTCTGACGGGACAACCATTACAGTCGAGACACGCGACCCCGTCAGGAGGCGTGTCTTTATCGGATCTCTGAATGTTTTCGTCACCATTGATGCCGGCATCATTTCTCAATTCAGCTTTGACGAGTCGTCGGGCTCAGTGACACTCACGCTGGCGCAACTCGATGGCGTCCCGGCAGCCGAGAATGCCATTGTCTGGGTCGAGACAACAGCGGGGACGGCCAACTACACAATTGCCGGGGCTGAAGCAGCCAGAGGTGGTTGGCAAATTCCTCTGGATACAAGTTCGCTTTCTGTCACTCTGACTCGATCATAGGGATGGGTTGAACTGCATTGTGTGGCCGGTGATGGGCTGAGTCGAGTAGCGTAACAATATACCCTCCAAACATTACCTTGAATCGAAGTAAACTGGAACTGGGTTGATGATCTCCAACTACTTCTCACTTACAATTACTGAAGCCTGCACATGATTTCTTCTCCGTGGTAGCTCAATCGCAATGCTTTAAAATCATTGTTGAGAGAGTGTAGATACATGTTCGGTATCGGATATTCAAGCGAGAGGCCCAGCTTGGAGACTTTTAATGACGTCGTCATTGATCTATTTTAACCTTACGCTGCATGAGGTTGGTACCTGCAGCTACCCAGAACAAAATAGGGCTAGCAGATACGGTACTGGCCAGTGGTAGGTGACCCAACCTGCCCAGGCACACCTTATTTCCGCGCTATCTCGGGGCGCTATCAGCCATCTCCCACGTCATTGACACGGCATTGCCAATTCCAGGAACCAGGAACCAAACCAGACGGGCGCGTTACATTGCCATTAATTTCTCAATTCTCATAATTTTTTGTGTACAAATCCCTCTCCAAAATCTGTGCAGATCTACTACATACCTCTATGCAGCCCAACTACTAGGTGACTGTGGAAGAAGAAAATGTGGGCAAAGATTGCAGCACCAGGGGTGGTGCTTCTGACTGTAGCAGTATCATCGTCATGGGCAGCCCAGATCCCTCAGATCCCTCTTGTAGGACCCACTCCGGCTCTTGGTACACAAGATCACAGTCAGAACTATTCGTTCGACCCGTTGTTGCATCTACCTGGACTATCTCCCTACTTTGATGTAAGAAAAGGCCCAACTGCGAATTGGATTCAATGGCAGAATATGTTTCCCCTCCCCCCACCCGGCTTGCTTGCTAACGCTTGTTCCACCCCTCACAGGCCGTTGGATTCGGGCTCGAACATTCGGCACCGCTAGGTTGCAAGGTCACAGCAGCCAGCTATCTCGTTCGTCACGCTGCCATCTATGCCAACGACAATGACTATGAGCAGTTCATGGAACCCTTCCTGTCAGCATGGGAGAAGGCAGACAAGAACTGGACGGGGCCGCTCGAGGTGCTGAACGAGTGGAAGTCGCCGTACACTGACCTCGAAAACCAGATGGAGCAGCTGACACCTGCTGGCGCTGACGATTCAACCAAAGTCGCCCAGCACCTGCTCCGCCGGTATCCTGACCTGGTGCCAACGACGAACAAGGTCTTTAGTGATGGAAAAGCCCGGACCCAAGATACAGCAAAGGCCTTCATCAAGGCTTTTCCTCAAAAGGTCGAGTTGAAGAAAATCCACAAGCATGGCGAGCAGCACGCCGTCATACCCCACAAGTCATGCGATGCCTTCACCAAGGCTGCGGGTGACAAGGAGCAAGAAATATTCATGCATCAATATACCCGTGGTATCATTGCGCGCCTACAACCACACGCCGCGTTTGGCCTCAAGCCGAACCAGATTGTAGGACTGCAGCAGCTTTGCGGATATGAGAGCGCCATCACGGGCCAACTGAGCAAGCTGTGTAACATATTCACACCCATGGACTGGCTAGCCTATGAATACCTCTGGGATGTGAAATACTATTACATGGTTGGACCAGGAAATCCGCTCTCGTCTTACCTCGGCTTCCCCTGGCTTAACGTTACGGCTGAGCTCTTCTCTCAGCTCCACGACGTTGACGATGACAAGGTGTCGAGCAAGAGCAAGGCTGACGAGAGCCAGCGGTTCTTTGTCTCTTTCACCCATCGCGAGGTGCCGCCCTTTCTCGCCACGGCACTCGGCATCTTTAACTCGTCTTCGGGGGTTGACGAGGCAATGCCGCTAGACAGAATCAACTTTCCCAGGTCTTGGAAGATGGCTGAGCTCATTCCATTCCTGGGACATATAGGCATTGAAAAGATGACGTGCGGGCCAGAGTCTGGGGCGATTGGGGGCTCCGAGTTCATTCGGGTATTGGCAAACAGCGCACCTCGACCGATTCCTCAATGCCAGAGCGGCCCGGGCGCAAGCTGCGAACTTTTCGAGTTCCAAAGCTTTGCGCTCGAAGGATTGAAAAAATATGGACAGTTTGACAAAGTGTGCGAGAACGGCAAAGACAGCAAGAAGAGGTAGGAGTGATGATGAATGTGTCCACCTTGTTTGCCAGCCGTCCAGCGTGCCTGAGTGCTTACCTGCTTGACTAATTTCTACCTATGTAGGAATGCATGGGGCAATGATTGCAAATGATACCCACGGTAGTAATATAACATGTTAATCGATCCATCAGTTGGTGTGAAATATGTGAAAGAGTTTCACATGTATGAAGTTCCGACCGCCCACTCACTTAGTATCTAAACTCCCTGGCGCTGGAAACTAACTGCTTCGACCGAGGGGGAGGTGGCCCCTGTAATCCTGGAATTTCAAGGTAAGCTCAATCACCTAAGTCTATGGGGGGTTTATTAGTGCGGGCCGATTCTCAACTGCCAAAACTAGCACCTATCAAAGTGGCCTTTCAATTAGGATGAAACAAACCACTTCTTTTTTGTACAATTCAACCGCTGTCAGCCCCGTCTGTGATGGCTTCTCTCGATGCAGCTTCTATCCAATCTTTACTGACTCACTAACTCATCGGAAATTTGCATAATATTTGCTCACAGATCTGGTGTCCTTGTACCAAATCATGCAGACGTATTTCCGCAAAAAGGATTTCTGCTGCCTCCACACCTCTGGCAGCCCCCCCGAACATGTCGCGTTTCATCTGAACTGGCGCGCGGCGATCCGTGGTATCAGGAGGCTACCACCGTCTCAATCCTGAGTCGCATCAACCGGGGCGCAGCAGTCTGATATTGTACCCGTTCTACACAGTACCTATGTCGGTAGGGGCGGAGTAGGAGCAGGAGAAGAAGCAGGTGGAAGGTGGCTTGATTTGATCTTCCGTAGGAAAATCATGTTTATTCGTTTCCTTTCTTTCCCCCCAAATTGATCTAGAAAAGGCCCCGGCAGGTAGGTAGTAAGCTTTCTCTTGGCTAGGTATACTCGTTTCTTTCGGCTGGAAAGGCAATAGGGGACTTTCTATTCTCTCCTTCTTCTCATCACAATTTGCTCTTCACTCGCTCTTTTATTTGATCCATTGACGATATCTCCTTTGATTCGTGAGCCGGTGCTCCGACCTTCTCTCTCTCTATCTCTCCTTCTGGTGCTGTTGTGTTGATTCACAACACCAATCTCTTGCAAACCACCCACATTATCCTTCTCTGTGCTTCGCCTGGTGCCCATTTTAATCTATACGATCATGATTTCTCGGCATGTTGGCGCGGCCGCGGCCGTTCTGCTTATCAATTCTGCAGTTGCTGTAGATCCCATTGTAGCCAAGGTCAGTCATATATCGTCGGTGCTGGTTCGATGCTCCCTCTCCACTCAGCAGGACTAACCCAACCCCTTGGCGAGCAGGGTAAATACTTTTTCAACTCGGCAACCGGCGCACAATTCTTCATCAAAGGTGTCGCCTACCAACAAGGCGTGGGCGTGGGCGGAGAAGTCGAGGATGGAAAGACTTTCACCGACCCTCTCAGTGATTTCGACGGATGCAGCCGCGACATCCCATACCTCCAACAGCTGGGCACAAACTTGGTGAGAGTCTATGCTATCGATAGCACGGCGGATCACACCCAGTGCATGAATGCCTTGGATGAAGCCGGTATCTACGTAATTGCCGACCTGGGGGAGCCGGGCAATTCCATCAACCGCGACGAGCCTCAATGGAACACAGATCTCTATGCACGTTACACGAGCGTCATCGACAACCTGGCCAAGTTTCCAAACACGTTGGGCTTCTTTGCCGGAAACGAAGTCACCAACAACAATACCAACACGCAAGCCTCGGCTTTTGTAAAGGCTGCCGTGCGCGACAGCAAAGCCTATATTACCTCGCAAAGCTTTGATCATTGGATGGGAGTCGGCTATGCGACAAACGATGACGCCGACACTCGCGATAACTTGGCCGACTACTTCAACTGTGGAAATCAGTCAGATGCCGTCGATTTCTGGGGCTACAACATCTATGAGTGGTGTGGCGAGAACACGTTTGAGGCCAGTGGTTATGAGGAACGGACTCAAGCTTTTGAGAACTATTCGGTACCAGCTTTCTTCAGCGAGTACGGATGCAACAACCCCGGTGGCGGTGCTTCTCGAATCTGGCAGGAAACCGGAGTGCTTTACGGTACTCAAATGAACCAGGTCTGGAGCGGCGGCATCGCGTACGAATACTTTGAAGAACAGAATGACTTTGGTAAGTACACAAGCTACGGGATCACCCTTGAGACAAGCCACACGTGCCTCTAACATAGTCTGCAGGGCTTGTCACGGTTGATGGCACAAACGTTCAGACCAGCAAAGACTTTTCTGCGCTGGCTGACCAGATCAAGGCCGTCGGCGACGTACAAACGTCTACAAAGATGAACTCAACCAATGCCGTCGTTGCCAACGAACCCCGTGCTTGCCCAGCGGTAACGGGCGATGGAGGCTGGGCAGCTGCCGAAGCTCTCCCGCCCACCCCGGATGAGGCCGTTTGTAGCCAGATGGTGGCATCTTTGTCCTGTGTGCCGTCCGAGAAGGTCACGACTGACGATATTGGCTCCCTCTTCGGCACTGTCTGTGGCATGGACGCCACGGCTTGCACCGAGATCACTTCGGACGCAACGACTGGTAGCTATGGGGCCTACACCATGTGCAATGCCACGCAACAATTGGCATTTGCTCTCAACCAATACTACGTTAATCAGGGCAAATCGACGTCGGCATGCAATTTCAGTGGCCAGGCCAAGCTGGTCAGCCCCACCGAGGCTGCTCCCGAGGTCACGACTGGTTCGGGAACTTCTGATACCACTACAGGTGCTGATACCAGTACCTCGTCGGGAAGCACTTCGGGAAGCACTTCGAGCAGCGGTTCGAGCAGCGGCTCCAGCAGTAGTTCCGGCAGCAGCACGAGCAGTAAGTCAGGGAGCGGCTCTACCGGTGCGTCTGGCGGTAATGGTACGGCTGCCAGCACCACAAACAACACAAATCAGAATCAGTCAAGTCAAACTGCAGGAGCAAGTCTGCTGACATCGGGCATCGCAGTATACGCGACCGCTTTGCTTTTCGTCGGATTGAACCTGTTTGTGATATAAGAGAAGAATGGGTGGTGTTGGCTTGGACCAAGATACCGATCATGCGCTCCCGTACTCCATCATGTATACTCATCCATGAGAAGCTTGGATTTGCTGGGAAATGACTGTAGAGATGATACTAGCCAAGGTGGCGAGTTATTGGGCTGTTATAGAACTATCTACCAATCTACCTAATGCTACTAAAGGTGTGGTCATTGCGGTCGTAGCTGATGGTGACTTCTTGCCTGCGGACGATTCCATGTCTCTTATCAAGAATGCTCTTCGCGCTGCTACTATCTTCTCTCCAGATATTGTAATGACCATTATCGTCATCGTTGTTGCAGCTGCTTTTCCTCAGCCCTTCGGCGGTCAGAGAGTCCAAGCCTTGCTCCAAATCAGGAGGCCTCGAACCAAGCTTGACAGATCTCGTCCGCTCCTTGGAGATCTGATAACCTCTGTAACCGCTACCGGATCGTTCTTTTGTATCACTTCGATTGTATGAGTAGTAACTCGAAAGTTGTCGTACAAGTGGTCGGAAGATTGGGAGTGAGACACAGACAAGCGTTAGTGTCAGCTCTGTCGAGGTATACATGACGGAATCGGCTGTAGCATCTTATACGAGCATCATGAGTCAGTACCAATGTTCCAAAGGTAGAAGAACATAGAGAAATCGTCTTACAAAGATAATCTGTAGTCTCGGAGAGTACGCCCAGTCCTGCTGTTCGAACAATGCCAAACGCTCCCGCACTCGACAATATTTAGCAAATCGCTGCCAAGTTGACAATAATTGATGAAAACTTACAAGATGCCAAGAGATAGGGAAATAATGATGGTCCATTTTTCTTTCCGTTTCATGTTCAAATCTTTAAGTGCATAATATGGACAGAGGGCGAGGAAAAAGTCCATGGCAGCCGAGAATGCTGGCTATAGTGAGAAGCTTGATAATAGAATGCAACGAGTGAACATATGACTTACAACACATGACGAATGCAATCTTGGTCAAGTTGAGAGGACACGCTTGTATCGTGACCTCTGCATCCCACAGACCTTGAACTGGAAAACATTGGGCAAAACACGACACGGCAAGCAGAATACTGAGAGCCATCATGACCACAATCCATCCCCAGAGAACAGCAATTTGCCTGTCACGAACATTTGTGTCAGCATATTCATAAAGACACGACCAAAAACCTCGATATTTTTTTGGCGCCTCTTACCATTTGTTGGTAATGATGCGCATCAAGAACAAAGCAACGCCTGTCTTGCTGAGGCCCATTGCCAGAGACACCACGAATTGGCCACAAAGCTCGATCAAGGTCGCCATCTTGATATCCTCCGGGTCAAGAACGTCGACATGCTGACCGAATCCGTACAAGGAGCTAATGGTGAACAAAACTGCGAACGCCACCATAAAGACCTGTAGAGTTGTGGTTTCAGGTTTCAGTCCATGACTTTACACTCAAGGAAAGAAAGGTAATCCTAATCACCCACGAAGCCAAGAGAATGATATCGTCGCTGCCAGGATTGTTCTTGAGGATTCGTCGTATGAAATAACGGCCACCAACACAAAGTCCGGAGACAACTGTCTCAATGCAGAGTACGGCGATTGTCGCCGGTCCTTTACCTCCCAGAGGCATGATGAGAACAAGTGATGCGATCAAGAGTCCGAGCTGACCAGATAGCACGGGTAATTTTATTGCAGGATTGTAATTTGTTCCGGACTATTCAAGTTTCCCTGGCCTTCTTTATATCATTGCATCTTTGCGGCATTCTTCTGATGAGCTCTTGTCTACATGTGACCTCACAACCAATAGCAGTTCATTCTCGTGGTCGTCGCCTATACTCAGAGCAGCTGAAAATGCACAATATGTTTAAAGAGACATGTCATGGTAATGCACTTTACTTCGTTTGCTGCGACTGATGAGATATCCAACGACCAGTGTTTGAGTGAAAGAGAAAAAGAATCATTATCGTGGCAAATTGGATCGCCCCCCTGATGACTGATCGTTTTCTCGCATCTTGGGACGGATCTGTTCCCCGACCGGTAAGACCGAAGCGGATGACTATGCATAGCTCTGATGCTTGATGAATGATATGTCGCTTTCCCACCATCCTTAGCGGAGGCTCACCCTTGTCGATTTCTGGCAATCCGGCAAGGGACATATCCGAGCCACGGCCAGTAGAGGTAAGCCCAACGGATATAAACGTCCTGGAACTGCGATAATGTGACTTGTGATAAAGAGGGTGATCGACAAGATAATGGCTTGCTTCGAAACGTTTCTTGCTGCCGAACAAGATTACGGAGCAAATGGCGCTGTGTCTTGGAATCATTGACAATTTGCTCCAGGATTATCGCCAGAAAAAGAAAGGAAAAAGAAAGAAGGCATGGTCAATCCTGACTATAGAGCATTGTGCACGTGGAAGCAGCCGTATATTGGCGGAGGGGTTAGTCCTCCTCCGAGTTTCCAAGCCACGAAGAGTCAAGGACACGCCAACCGATAGAATCTGTATTTCACCAGCAGCGCCGAAGAATTGATATTATACGGTAGCCTCGGGCTATGTCGAGTCTACAGCAGGACTACCAAATGAGTTGTCCAAAAGGTAGTCTGCTAGGATGACTTGAAGCGCGGTAAGAGATTTACTTGCCTAAACGAAACAGTGATCACCGTTACGATCCCAAGAACGACTGGATGAGCGCCAAGGAGTATTGTCTCGATGTGGTACTAATTGATTGCCTTTCTCATGCAAAACGTTACGCTAGGTACCTACATAACCAGGCCGTTAGTTACTGGCTCTTGGCCTTGGAAATACTCCACGATCACCATGGTTTCTGGACAGGGAGAGGTTTCCTGAAACATTTCAAGGTGCTGCCCAAATATTACAGCCTTTAACCCATGAGCATGATTCTTCGTTTTCCGCAATTGCCTAGAACAAAATGACACAAACACGAACCCTCGACCCTAGCTGGCCCCCCACTATAAGCACCGCCAGATCGGCCATGGTCGCATTCTCCAACTATACCTAGGATGACACACCACAATACTAAGGGAATATGGAACCCCGCTGGCTTGAATCTGATACGCACCTGTCGATCCAAGGATGAGAAGATCAGCTCTCTTGGCTCTGAAATGGCCCTTGGCGGTTGGTAACAGGCTCCCTGCCGAGCTCCATATGCCGTAAGCTTCTCCGCTCCCTTGACAAGCTTTATCTAGTATACGAATACTCAACGCATATTCTAGATCCAGGGGACCTGGCGATTCTCTCAAATTAGGAAAGGATCTCTTTTGTCTGATTATCCAACTTCTGCACGGAACTAACTTCTGCACGGAACTTTTTTTCTTTGCTTATGATGAAAAAGAAGTAGACTGCACACCATTCCCCTTCCTTTCCACAGTATTGCATCCGATCAACATCTGCTACAATGCCCAAAGTCGCCGAGTTTCCAGTCTATCCTGTTCTTCAGGGGAAAGTAGCATTGATCACTGGAGGCGCTCAGGGTATGGGCAAAGCGACCGCCCAGGTATTCCTCAAGGCTGGAGCCAAGGTCGTGATTGCTGATGTTCAGGCCGACAAAGGTGAAGCGGCAGCGGCGGAGCTTTCCAAGTTCGGCGACGTGACATTCATCCAGACGGATATCTCAAAGTCTGAGCAAGTTCAAAGCCTCGTCTCCCAGACGGTAGACAAGTACGGCGCATTGGACTGCGCGGTCAACAACGCTGCCTTGACGCCGGACAGCACGCCGCTCATTGACCTCGATGAGGACTACTGGAGCCGGCTTGTTGGCATTAATCTCACGGGGACGGCGCTTTGCTGCAAATACGAAATGAGGGAAATGATCAAGGCAGGGACCAAGGGGTCAATTGTCAATATCGCTTCCATCAATGCATTCAGACCTCAACCCAGAATGCCAGCATACACGTCAACAAAGCATGCCTTGATTGGGCTCACCAAGCACGCTTCATCCGAGGGGGGCCCAAAGGGCATTCGAATCAACGCAATCGCTCCCGGCGCGATCTATGTGAGTTGACTGCTGTTAAATTGCTGTGCTCTTGTGATGTTTCTTGCTAAACGCTCTTTTGTATTTAGTCGGATATGTCAGCTGCCGCCCTAGAGACCATGGGGACCACCGAGGAAGAATTCGCAAAAACTGCGAGTCACTTGCATCGGTTTGGCCAACCACACGAGATAGCACAAGGCTCACTTTGGCTATGCTCAGATGCATCGTCCTTTGTAACAGGCTCTTGCCTCACGATTGATGGTGGTTTCATGGCCATGTAGATAGATGGCCTGCGTACTGGGAAGATTTCACAGCTTATCAATATGGTGTTATTATTTCACACGTAGTGATCCGAGTATATGAAGTAGTATATGTGTCAGAAAATGTTGGTCAACGCAGCCATATCTTTTGATGATGAACCGATTTCTCCTCAGATTGTCAATACAAGACAAGAAGCCCGAGAGTAATGGGCAGAAGAAGCCTCTTGATTGAAAGATTTGGCATATTGACCTGAACATTGAA